ATCGATAAATTGTGTCGAAACTGTTTAACTTGTGCAATGAGTAAACCATCGAATACAACATATGCCGAACCATCGTTAAAGCCGATACCTGATACTGTGTTTGAACGAATTGAGATGGACGCTCAAGGTCCAATTACCTATCAGAATGGAAAATCAAAGGTGATACTTGTCATTGTTGATACTTTGTCTCGATTTGTTTACGCAAAGTCATTTTCTAATCAAGTTTCTCAGACTGTTAAGAATTTTCTTGAAGAGTATTTTTCTATCTTTGGATTTCCTAAAATCATTCAGACAGATAGAGGTAGAAATTTTGTCTCAGAGGAAATAGAAAAGTTCTTGAAATCAAAAGGAATCACTCATGAAGTTTCGAATCCGTATCATCCTCAATCGCAAGGAGTAGTTGAAAGAGCAAATAGAACTGTAGGAGATAGACTTCGAACATTCATAATCGAAAATGGTTTGAATGAAGGAATTGATAAAGTGTTGAAATGGAATGTCTATTCTATTAATGCCTCAATTCATAAGATTCATCGATTTTCTCCTCACTTCTTAATTTTTGGAAAGAATCCTAATTCTCCGATCGATAATCAATTGTCGATTTCGTCGTTTACTAATAAATCAGTTGATCAAGCAAGAAAATTAACGAAAGCTCGTTTAGCCGCTCAACAAATTTATTACCAAAATCTACTCAGACAGTTAACAAAACCGAATCCATATTCAGTAGGAGATTTTTGTTTAATTAAAAATTCTGCTCCATCAATTGGAACAACTAAGAAATTAGTTCCAAAGTATCATGGTCCCTATTTAGTTCTTGGTGTAAGAAAAGGTTCAGTGTTGTTATTAAATCCTAATAATCTTGAACAATTTACCTCGAATTTACAATTAACCAAACCCTTTAATTGTCAATTGAATGAAAGTTTACTGAGTTTAAAAAATGAATATTTTGATTGTAATTCTGATGATTGGTTAGTTGACCAAAATGCGACAATTAATGAATCTGAATCAAGTTATTATCCTTTAAATCATGACGAATTGCCTGAACAAGTTGAGCTGAGTTCAACAAATGAAATCGTATCAGCTGAATTGAGTGATAATCAATTAACCTCAATTATCGATAACGAACTAAATCAACTTGAGATTGAAAAATTACCTGAGTTTGAAGAATCAATTCCAATTGAAGAAAATTCAACTAAAGTGGTTAAGAAGAGAGCTACATATAAAACTGCTAATCGTGAAATGTTCAACCCTGAACTTCTTAATAGTGAAAGACCGAAAACGAGGTCACAACAATTAATTAGTGTTAATTTAATTAATTCGGACAAAAATGTAAAAATTTGGAAAATCAAATTACCCGCTAACAATCAACTCTTTTCTTCTTGGTTACCGATATTGGCGCTTGAAAATACGTTTCTAAGGAAGAGAAACAAAGGAAACCAATGTCCATTGTCTTTCATTTTCAAAGTGTTTGCCCTAATTGACACATCAGTTAAATCAATTGATTCAAATCAAAGTGAAAATTGTTCGTTTTTGTTTTGTGAAATTGTTAATTTACTAAAATTAATCATGTCCCAATTCGATGATTGGCCTGAATCTTCAACATCAACTAAAGATGATCCAAAAAATTCTGGTAAAAGTGATCCTGATTCCCGGTATCGTGATTTAAAATTAGTTGACCCTCTTCCTAAATTTGTTGCTGAAGGAAAAGCCAGAAGATATTTAGACTTTGAAGATTTGTCTGGAATCGATAATTCTGGTTATCCTGTTCCCAATTTCATCTATGGAAAAATGAAACGATATCCAGCGAAATTACCACCCAAAGAAGAGGAACGACCATCATATTTAAGAATTGAATTCTTCAAGAAAGCTCGTGAAGAGATCGATCAACAACTCGTTAAATATGAAATGGATGAAAATCTTTATGTTGAATTCATCAAGGAAAAGATGAAACTCAATGTAATTGAAGATATTGGATTAATCTCATTCGATAAACTACCAAAAGGATTAATCAAATCAAAAGTAATTCATCCTGATTTACTTTCCAAAGTAAAGAAAATTTCCTGTCTATTTTGTGAACAAATTGCAATCGATCCAAGATGCTGTTCATCATGTTCCAAAATCTATTGTACTCCATGTGCTGAGTGGCTAAGACAAGGAATCACTCAAGCTAATTTACCTCCACCCAAAGAACGAACTGAATTCTTATGTGTTAATGAGAATTGTTTGGTTAAAGCTTCAACATCAAATTCTTATGTTAAATTGGTACCAATTGGAGACGAAGAAATTATTCATTTCTATCAAGATGCTAAGTTTACCTGTAATCGTGACTGGTGTAAGTTAAGCTTCGATTATATTAATTATGTTAATCACATTTTTACCTGTCGACGTGGACCTATCGATTACTCAATGGACAAAGATTTAAAATTACAAAATTTTAAACAAGGTCAAGTATGTGCGAAAGTCTTGGAAAAGCCTAGAACCTTAGCTGGTTTGTTGCCTTCGCATTTAAAAGCGAAAGATGAAATCGAAGTTATTTCCCACGAAGAAAAATGGCAACAAACAGCAAATCGATTTGCTTTTCTACTCAAAATGAGAGATGAAAATCCTGATGATCCTCATCTTCAACCAATCTCATTGAGAGCTCATGCTAATTTATCCCTTAACTGGTGGAACAATTGGAAAATTTCTAAGAATCCTCGAACTCCATTATCAGAAACTGAAACCTTTTTAAGAGAAATTGGTTTTCCCTCAATCGATTCTAATCTTTATTATTCTAAAGATACTGATTTCCCGACCGTTCAAAGTTCAGTTATTCCTGAATATCTAATCAAAGATTCAGTCAATTGGAGACGATGGGCTTGTGGTATCACCGAGTTCGACACTGAATCAATTGTCGATTCAGATGCAAGTTCCGTTGTCATGTATTCTGCTTTTGTTGAAGACCCTGAATCTCCATTCATCAGAGTAAATCCCTTTGACCGACTAGCTCCAGCTAAAGTAGATTATGTTTTAGAATGGCTAGAACAATTTCCATCTTGTGTTAATAAGAATCAACCATTGGAATTACCTAAAACATCTACTAATCAAAAAGATCTATGCGAGAAAAATTCGACGAAAGATCATCAAATCGTCATGGGACAATAGACCAAAAGCCGTCTTACCAATGATGACTCAAGAAAGAGTTAAACTATTTGCCCTAGCAAGTGAATCATTGGAAAATAAAGAAACCTCTTATTGCCTATCCATGTTTTGTGCTCCAATAAGAGAAGGTAACAAATTGAATCCAAGACCAATTTGGGTAACAATTGTAGATGCAAATCTAAGTGTGGTCTACGAAACTTTTGTTCGTTACTCATCAATCGAATTAAGTGATGAAAATTACAATGGTTTGACTCGACAAGACCTGAAGTATGGTCGTAACCTTCGAACAGTACGAGACCAAGTTATCAAATATCTCGTTTGTGCAACTCGAATTATTGGTTATGGAATAATTAATCAATTTAAAAATATTGGCCTTACTTCTCATGAAATTAATCAACTATTACCCTCATGTCGAGAGATAAATCAATTTTACTCTCCTTATTATCAGTCAGCTTTAAATTTGCAAGCCATTGCTTTTCTCTGGTTTCCAGGGTATATTATACCTGTTGATCCTCATTCACCTGTAGTGGAAGCTATTACAGCTATGAGATTATTCATCTTCCTATGGAAGGACATTGAAGAAATCGCCCTGACTCTTGGTGGAATTCACCATAAAAATGCTCAATTAACCGGTGCTAATACCATTACAAGTTCTCTCTTGTATTATTTTGACTCCCAAGTTCGAGCAGGAAAATTCTCATGGCCAGAGGAATGGAAACAAAATCCAAGAATGAAATTAATCCCTTACTACAACACGGAAAATTGTGTACCACCGGACATGTCAATGGTCAATCAATTATTATCATCATGGGCCAAGGAATTGAATGAATATGACGAAAGAGAAAGTTCAGGAAATGGTTCTTCCCAAAGAATCAAGCAAATCAAGTCGAAAGAAGATTCTGATTAATCTCCGTAATCAAAAGAGAGTGTCTTAATCAAGTGCGAGGGGTGTGAAGGGTAAAATTTGACTCTCTCATGATTAACTTCAATTAATCAAAATTGTCAAGAGAATTTAAGTTGGAACCAATAGGATTGCAATTTAAACAAAGTCCCCAAAGATTTTCCCTCTTTCTTTTCTTTGTTCTCTTTCTTCATTTTCTATTTTCATTTTTTGTTCTTTTCTAAAATGTAATTTTTTAGATTAGTTTGGCTTAAATTAGCCACATATTTTCTTAATTATGTCCCAAGTGAATTAATTTTGTTTTAAATGTAACCAGTAATGTGTTGTTCCAACAACAATTACATTCTTTAAGATGTTTCCTTCCGTTCTAATTCACATAAATAGTGAACCCCAAAAATGTAACAATTAGAGTTAGTTTCATCTTCAACTTGTTCAAATATAAAAGTGTCTCAGTTTTCTTGTTCCTGAAATTCTGTCTTGTTAATTACTCTAGTAATTTAGTGTGATTAGTGTTGTGAGTCTGATTTAGCCTTAGTGACATAATCTACAAACGACTATCCAAGATACGAATCGAAATCAGGTAAAATTGTGAAAGGACCTGAGTGCATCTTCTACATTTAATTGATTCTTTCATTTAAATAAATTCAAATTAAACACTTTCAATATATAGAATACAATTAATAGCAAGAATCAGGTTAATCAATTTAAATTGCGATTAGAATCCAAAGGGAAAGAGCTAAGGTTCAACTGTGATGTTTTTTGTTTTCGTTTTTCTTTGAATTTTGTTCAACTTTTGGAATCGAGATTGAAAACTTTCCGGTGATTTATCATGATTAACTTTGAGAGAATATTGAGTTTTGTATTAGAAAGTTAATCGTAAATTATCAATAACAATTCCAATTGATCAGTTGCTCTTTTTTTTAAATGTTCGTAATTTTGTTTCTTTCAAAACATAATCAAGATTCTGAGTCTTGATTGAAACGGAAATGTGAGTATGACTGAGTTATTGATTAATCAAACTTGACATTATCTTTGAGTACTTGAAGAAATGTCAATAATCAATATTGGAATCTAATTGTTGTTAAAGCTTTAATTACTAAATCATAGAGATACACGACCGATAGTTGGCTTTTCTTGATTGTGGTGGAAAGTCAATCAAATTGAAGGACGAAAAGGACGATTGAGATAACGATGAGTTATCGACACTTTGGCGATATTTTCGGTAGTTTTATCCATCGAACTGAGAAAATTTTTAAATGTTTTTTTTGGAATTGGTGATGAAATGCGAAAATATTTTATTAATTTTGTATCGTAACAGTTATCGAATTGTAATAATCTCGATTTATCCTTTGCTTAACGAAGCCTGATATTGATTGAGAATCAATTGGATAAAGAAATTCGTTTGCATAATAATAACATTTACAATTCTTTAGTTGAACCACATTCAAGATCTTAGATTTTGTTTGCAAATGAGATTACCTATTTATCGGTAAGAGATTGAAGACTTTGAATTCGCAATTGAACATTTGCATATAAGGAACATGATAAGTGACAAATTTCTCATGATAAAAGTTGAATATTAACAAGAATAATCGATAGTTAATCACTTGGAATGTCGATAATGATCTTTGCTGATTATGTTCAAACGATGAGTGAATAAAATGACTCGATTCTGGAAAAGTTGATTAAGAAAAACTTTCGAACTACCAAATGATAATATTTGCCAAGTGTTCCTAGTCTATTAGTAGAAATGAGACATATTCGAGGGTTGAACATTCGAAGGATATTAATCACTCTCGTAATAAATTCGACTCTCGAAGCTTATAACTCGATGATGGAAAAATAAAGTTCGTAAACTTAATTAATGACCAAAAGAATTTCGAATATCAAATATCAACAATAATATGACATTCGACATTCGATTCACCTAAATTTCGAGTTCTAATTTGTTCAAAGCTCTACGACTTTGATTTTCTGCTGTTTAATTGCGTAAAAAATAACGACAATTAAGTTACCATATTGTTGTTGATAGAAAAACAATTGATTGTTTGCTAATTAATTGATTTTCTTTGTCAATGTTTCATTTTTTACTTATTCTTTCACCGGTTTATCCTTGATTGTAATTCTATCACTAATCAAGTGATTAATTTAACTTTTAATTGGTAATCAATCAATTCTGTGATTGATGTTTGAATTCATTGATTATATTTACTGGTTCATCTTGTTGGTTTGTTGATTTATCATCATGATTGTTATTCTTGGTTACAACTGAATTAACTGGAATCTGATTTCTCAGGCAAATTGCCCAAAAGTTTTTCCCAGGAATCAGTAAATTACCAGATAATATTTCCAATCATTTTAATTGTTTACAGTAATTTAATTAACGTAATAAACATTCAATCAATTGAAACTTTAAGATTGGGTGGTAAAGTTTTTTTTTTCACCGATGTGATGATTTGATAATCAAATTTAATTTAATTTCTCAACGAACACCAAATGATGTTGATGATGATTAAATTTAATTGTGATTAAGGGACTATATTAATGGTGTTTCCTGTTTCCTTGATGTGCTTACCAATTACAATTTAGTTTCGTAAATTGTTAGTTAGTTGATAATCTCAATTAACTTCATCTTCTTGTTGTTGTTCTTGATTGTTAGTTAATTAATTCGGTTTGTAAGGAGAGAGAAAACAAATTAACACTCACCATTAGTTGATTGTAATCAGTTAATATAATTGAATTGTTTCTCTCATTGATTGTTGATTCATCTTCTTGCTGTTGACAGTTAATTAATGTTGACCAAACCATTTAAGATTATAATCTAACTTGATGAACCAAATTGAATCAATTAGCTAATTGTTGACAATAATTTGATTCCCTGTTGACTCATTTAAGGAAATTAAATTGTAATCACAGAAAGAAAGATAAAAACACTAAAGAAATCAGAAAATTAATTTAGACAAAATAATCAACAATTAACTAAACATGTTGAGAGTTAGTTAACAAGGAAGATGAATTAATATTAATGGTTAATTGTTGGGTGAAAATGATTACATTGGTTTTGATTACTATTAATGGATGAAATTTAACACCAACAACAATCAACGGAAAGACAATCAAAGTCCAGGATTTACCGAGTCAACAATTTAACCAATCAAACCATTTAAATTGTAATAAAAAGATGATCATGATGATGGTGATTAACTAATTGTGATTAATTAACCGATGGAACAACAAATCAATCAAATAAATAATATGAATTTATTAATCTTCCATAAGCCTAATTATTGTTTTCCAACAAAAGTAACTTGATAATCTGTTAATTCCGAGTCTAAATTAGCATAACAATTAACAATCTCGTCTTAATTACTAACACTAGTAACACCATAATTAACATATAAATGATACAGAAATTGGTACAACCCTGAAACCATTTAACAATTAACATGATCAACAGTAAATTTGTGACACTTACTTGATGTAAATCAATTAATTGATATCACAATTTGAATCATAATTAGTTAATCATTGATCCCTTTCCAGTGAGTATCAATTGTTTACTTATTGTAAATTGTTAATTTGCTCATCTATTTGTTTTCCTCTTGTCTCTCCACTGATTTACAGTTAATCACTTAATCATCTTTCGCTTGATTTACATTAATATGTTTACAATTAGGATGAAGGTTAAATGATTAACCTTCAATAGTTAAAATTATGTTTAGTGAATTTGTTAATCATGATCAACATTTTGAAGGTTTCATTTTGCTTGAGAAATGAAGCAAACCAAAAATACATTTCAAAGTATCACAAGGAAAAAGGTTAAATGATAAATCAGTGAGTTAACTGTTTACAACAATCAACGATCATCACAATCAACTAATTGTTTACAGTTTTAGTGAAAGAAAACAAAAAAGGAAACAATTAACAAATTGATTGCTTGTAAGTTGTCATCAGATTCAATGATTGTAATGATTATCCAATATTCAAGAAGAAGACACAATTTACTTAATTGTTACACTTTGATTCAAATATCATCAGTAATTAATTGATCAGTTAAATTACTCACCATTTTGATAGTTGATAAATTAATTCCTTTCCGTTTGATTGATGAGTTAAAATCATGATAACAATTAAAAGTATTGCATTTGATTGTTTAATTAACTTTTTGTTTGTAATCAAAGAGTGAAAAAATATTATTAATAACAATCCAATGTGATTAGATGTTGATAGAGAAATACAATTAACAAGCAATTAACCGTTATTGGATGACAATTGAACATGTTTGATTATTAGAATTACAATTAATTTTGATTGTTGTTGAAAAGTGAAGAGAAAAATTAAAAGTATAACTGAATTAAATTGGAAAGAAAAAAAATTCATTTCATTTTCTGTCTTTAATCCTCCCATTTGGGATTAACTCCTTCATCTTTTATCTGGATTATCTCATTATCACCATCAGAATCTTCATGAAAGGGTGGGCCTGATGTGTGGACACCGTTTAATTTGGTTATGAAAGGATTAGTTAAACAAATTGTTAAATATAAATTACGATCGTAATTGTGGTTGTCTCATATTATGTCAAAATCATTTCAATTTTGTCACCATCTTAATCTTCATCACCATCTGATGTTTGTTTGTTTCTTTGATTGTTGTTGTTGTTGTTGTTTTCAATTAAAATAATTGTTGTCATAATAAATCAAAAACAATTTTTCACGTAACAATTAAATCAAGTAATAGAGCGGAAAGAGTTGGTTACACTTTCTCCCTCTCCTCTTAAAACAATCAGTAAATGAGAAATTACAATTACACCTTCAAGGTAATATAAATGATAACAATCATTATTATTATGATTACATTTCAAGATGATAATGATGATTATGATGATGATGATCATTATCATTATTATTATTATTGTGATGATTATGATGATAATGGTGAGAAAAGTTATCATCATGTGTGTTGATTGTTGGATGATGATCATGATTGTAAATCAAGTTTTAAATCAAATTTTGGTTTCTTGCTGTTGTTGACTGGGTTTTAAATTGCTGTCAAATTGTTGTTGATTTGCTCATGAGAAAGTTGGTTTAAGTCGATAATCAAATGTTGTCAGGGTTAATTGTGGCGTTAATTTAAAATTGATTGAATAAAGATTGTCACTAACGGTAAATGAATCAGTCCGTGGCTTTGGGAAACCGTGGACATAATTGTCCACTCTAAAGTTTGCCGATGCATCCAACAATTGGTCAGTTAAAAGAGTGGACAATATTGTTGATGATGAAGTTGATGACGGTGATGAGATTGATGGACAATTGATATCAGCTGTTAATCGGATTTTACCAGATTTTGGTATTTTTGTACCAACTATCCAATAGAAGCCATTTTGCTGGTCAGTGTGTAACTGCCCTTGACTTGGAAGACAATTGGCAAGGCAAGAGATTAACTTTTGAGGTAAATTGGTGAAATTTATACGAAATGAATGAAATCTCATTGAATGTCCATCCTTAATGGTCAATGTTAAATCTAAACGATACTGTGAATCAGTTTTACGAGTGACCAGGTAAGTGTATGAGATAAATGGTTCCCTAATTAGAATTGGATTACATTTGTAGTGAAAATATCGTAAAGCCTTGGAATTGAGTTTGGTGCAGACACATGAGAAACCGGAAGAAGCCATTGATGCCGGAGATGAAGAGGATGATGAAGTTGGTGAATTCATTGATGAGAAACTACCTGATCCATTGTTAAGCCAACAATGAGGTGAAAGGATAACGTTAAGATCATACAGATTATCAACCTTATAAGTTAACACTGGATTCCCTGTTAGGATAATATTATTTGTTAGATAAACGGTTCCATGGATCATCTCAGTTCCAGGGGAAATTGATGAGATAAATTCAGCGATTCTTAATGTTAATACAAGCTCTGATTTGGATGATGTTGTTGATGATGATGAGACAATCGAGGAAGTGGAAATGGTTGATGAAAGTGATATTGTTGATGATGAAAGCTTATTCTCATTTGATTTACTTGGTTTAATTATCATCATCGATTCATCTTCGATCTCATATGGATTAGTGACCTGACATCCGAAGGGTAAATTCTTGGTGAAATATTCCTCTAGAAGATATAATTTCTATTGGGAGAGAGAGAGAGAGAGAAGAGAAAAGAAAATGATAATTATAACAAATGATACGAATAGAGAACATGATAGAGAAAAGATAATTTGATTGACAGAATTTTAAACTTATGGATCCGTGAAAATGGAGCAGAAAAAAAGTACAGAATTAATCAAGAAATTAGACTATAAGAGAAGAGACTAATTAAAGTGACAATTGACAATATTCGTTGAGACGGAAAATTAGTTAAATTCAAACAATTAGAAAGGAGAAAGAAATTTAAATTTGAATTTAAGGAATCGCTCTCAGTGAATTCATATTGTTTACGAACGTGATTTAATCAGATTTCCGTGATCAATAGTAAATAATGATCAACATAATGAATGAATTCTCAAGTTAATGATTACATTCAATTATATTTCTATAAGGTTGAAAAGGTAAAAAAAGAAAAAAGAATTTTTTTTTCTTCTATTCTCTTTCCATTAAGATGATTCCAAATGATGGTAAACATGGCGGAAATGATGAACGATTCAACGATATGATTATTATACTAACATCATTAGGATAATTGTTTATCTAATTGTTGATGTAGAGTTTAGTGTGACATCAATAATCACTAATCAAGTTAATCGATTATAAATACAATCAGGGTAATCAAGTGTAACCAAACAACAACAAAGTAATCAATTGTTCATTGAGATTTGGTTGTTGATTTTGTTTACAATTACATTTGATTGATTGTAGTTACTTACATTGTCTTTGGAAAAATAGTTAATTAGTGTTTGTAAGGTTGAAACTGTCACTGAAACACCAATGTGATCAATTAAATTAGTCGAGGAATTAGTGAGAATCGGTAATCCACAGAAAAGGATTCCTTTGTGTTCCAGAACGATGATAGGCCAAAGACGGAAACCTTTTAAATGGAAGCCCAAAGCGGGTAATTGATTAATTTGGGTACAATCAAAGTTAAATGAAGACTCTTGACCATCGAAATTAGTTGACTGATTAAGCGATGAACTTGTTGGTAGATTTTCAATTCCAAGAGAGCCCATTAAACCAGAGACAAATTGACCTTCCTCTTTCATGGTTAACATGGCGATCATTTTACCATCGCTTGATTTGGTTCCATTATTGGGGAAATAACGTCTAAATAGTATTGATCTATTCTCAATTGATACCAACCAAACAGCAATTAACGACATGGTTAATAGAATCACTTACAAATTAATATAATAAAGTTTAAAAATCAAAAGACAACAACAATTATAGTTGCAAATAAAACGATTCATAAAATAACAACAAACACAACAATAAATATTTACAAACAGAAAGAAATTCAATAATTCATTTGGTACGATGGTTAATTAATCACAGAAGAGGTGTGTTCATGTTTAGGTTGATTAGTGATTAATTAAATCAAATGAGAGAGAGAGAGAGAGAAAAAATAATCACAAATAATTAGAGAAATGAAATGATTAAAAACAAATTCACTTTTACCGGTTCACTTTATTATCCAAGTTTTCAGCTGATCGATTGGCGGTTTAATCAAATCAACGAATTACGATCACGATAAAACGGTTAATTTTACCATAATTAACCTATTTAGCAATAAATCCAAGTGATTTACCAGTTTGTTGAACAACCATTTTGTCTAATAACCAAAATCTGAAACAACAATCAACAGATTAAACAAGAAAAATAAATTTTATCAATTTAATGTTTTCCAATATAACAAAAAAATGACAATTCACTTACATAGATTTTAAGAAGACACTTGAAAATGGAAAGTTAAAAGCAGATAATCAACAGTTATTGATAACAATTCTACCATCACTTGATCACAAACTCAATGGAGATAATGTTAAAGATGAAAATTAAAAGTTAAAATTATTCTAATTAATTAATTTATTTAATTGTAAACAAATAAAAACAATAGTTACTCAAGTTGACCAAAAAATTTTGATCGTTTCATTTTTGTTTACAAATTTCAATTCCAATGGATACAAAAATTAGTTCCCATTCTTACCGGTAGATGGCTGGACAATCGGTAGTGTTAATTAGTTGATTGAATTTGAGAAAAATAATTAATTTTTAATTTAACAATTAGAATGAGAGACAATTAGTTACAAATTTGAACACAAAAGGAAATTATTTAAATTTACAACAATTGTAAAAGGAAAACTTTTCTTCATCTTGTTTGGGTAATGAGATTTTTTCACATTTTTCTCAGACAATTTAAAATTTTGAACAATTAATTTTAATTCAATGATTGTAACACTTAATGTTTTTGTATGTGTTTGTGTGTATTTGATTGTTTATCTTGTGTGTGTGTGTGTGTTTTCAATTGTAGCAAAATTTGATTTGTGAACATTGATAATAATAACTCTCTATCTTGATTGGTAGTTAATTGTCAAGTTGAATAAAATATTGTCATTTCTAAATTAGAATAGAACACAATTAGAATTGTTTTTGGAACTAAACAAAAACAAAATTATCTTCTTTCTCGAGAAAAACAAAACAAACTTTTCCTCTCCATCGATATATAAATATTGGTCAATCAATTATCAAATTGTCTTCGTCCTTGAGGTCACTTTTTTTTCACGATTCTTTGGCTTTAATTGTTTCCTTTCTTTGCGCTCAGTGAGTAAATTGTTACTTATTGGTGAGTATGTAATCAAAAGGTTTTGGGTGTTTGTCCGAATCATAAGTTAATTGAAAAAAAACATTTGATGGCAGTTCCACTTATGATGAGATTAGTTTTTCCTTGGATAACCAATATCTTTAGTAAGCTTTTTTGTTGAATCCAAATAATTGAATATGATAGGTTGAGGGTCCATAGGTTGAGAAACATCAAGTGATACAAATGATGATGGCAAAGATTAAATTAAATCTTAATTGGATTGTTTCATTTCTATCAGAGTCTAATGATTATTGGATTTATAGTTGACTTCAATTCGGATGAGAAACTCTTTGCATCTCCAAAAACAATTAATAATAATTGTTTTCCGTTTTTGTCTCTTTTCGGATAATCTTTCTTTTGGCTTGGCTTTGTTTTGGTTGATTTTCGTTACGTTTATTTACAATAAATTTACACACAATCAGGCTGGTTAATTATCTTTGTTGTTATTGTTATTTTCTCCTTAACCATTTCCGCTATCTTTAACTTTGAGACTTCTTTGTTTCCTTAATTGTGCTGCATGCCTTGAACGATAATCGTTCAATTTTCCAGATGAACTAGAATTAATATGATGATAATCCGCTGTTTTGGCATCTTTATCTGTTGGTGAACTAACTGCTAAACTTGAAAGGGAAGTTGATAAATTAGATGCAGTAGATACACATAAGCCACTAGAATAGCTCATCATGTCACCAGTATCTCCCTCATCAACAGGTAAATGAGTTTCTACCATAGCCTCAAGGCAATTGACAAAAAGTTCAGCATTATCCAAGTTAGATTGACATTTAGCAAATGGACCAGCAAATCGCCAAAGACCAGCAAACCCGCAAGCTAAAGTTTTTTAGATAAGAATAAGTAAAAAGAAAAAGTTTAATATTATTGAAAAGACAAAATAGTTAACAATTAGAAATCAATTAATGATTTAAATTCTTACTTTGAAGATAATGAAGTTGCTGTTGTCCAGTATCTTCATTAGCGATCATATTTTCAATGATTGTTTGTACAGCACTAAGGAAAAACAATTGATGCTTCAGCTAAATATTCATATAGAACTTTCATCTCATTTTCATCGGTTGTATTCCTGACAAGTGTAGCCTGTAAATGGAAGGAAACAATTTGATTAATTGATTTGATTAGTTTGGAGAAAATTGAAATCATCTTACCAGGACTGTGAGGACTAAAGCTTGAGTTGAAAAGTCGGTTAAGACTTCAGGATCAATTAGAACATTATCTTCATTGGAAACTGATACTCTTGATTCTCGAGTTTCTTGAGTTTTCCGAATCTCTTGTTCAACCGGTTGATGGTTTTCACCATTTTCACAAAAAGCAGTTTCATCATCTGAATTGTTACCATCTCCATTGTTATTACTTCCATTACCATCACTGGTACAGGTTCCACCGGTCGATTTATCTGGTCTGATTAGTTCAGAACCAAATCTATCTCTACAAGAGTCAAGGCTTTTCTGTGACCTAGGAGTTGGAACGGAGCTGGAACGTTGCGTTCGCATTTGAGGTTTCGCACTGATGGCATCAATGTCCAAGCTTTTCCACGACTTGGAATCTCGAGGAGAATTGGCCGCAGATGATGAAGCGGTATTTGATTGCAATGATTTGCATTGAAGATTGTCATCAATCACAACTATCATGTCCATTGAAACTCGGAAGTGAGTAGTTGTCAATTAATCGAGTCCCATCGAGCCAAGCGGCAGCGAAAATACAAATATCGTTTGACAGATTGGTCGATAAATCTTGAAGGTTGCGAATTTCAAAGTAATCAACTTGAAAACCATCGGCTGTTAATTGTTGGGTTGCCTGTGAACACAATTTGGCATAATTATGATCTCCTGATTTAATTTCCATTGCGATTCTCTCCATCATCTTGAACAGATTAGATGCTAATGTTAATCGTTCACTGGAAAGATATTGATTCCTAGATGAAAGTGCCAAGCCATTCGAGTCCCGAACTGTTGGTACACCGATGATTTCGATGTTCATGTGAAGATCTTTCACCATTTTACGAATAATTGTGACCTGCTGTCGGTCTTTTTCCCCGAAAAATGCGAAATTAGGTCTAACCAGATTAAAGAGTATATTACAAACTTGGGCCACTCCGTCGAAAAAGTGAGGCCTCGATTTACCGCAAAGTATTTTCGTATATTCATCGGGTAGAATCACTTTGGTACATTGATCTTTACCGTTTGCGTAAATCACATCGACACTTGGAGCGAACAAAATGTCAACACCAATAGAGTCCAGTTGTTCTCGATCTCGATTGAAAGTTCGAGGATATTTGTCAAAATCTTCATGTGGAGCAAATTGTGTCGGGTTAACAAAAATGGTCACAACGACAGTGTCACATTCATCACGAGCCTCCCGAACCAATTTAAGATGACCAGCATGAAGAGCGCCCATTGTCGGCACTAGACCGATATATTTACCACTTCGACGATCCTTGAGAGCGGAATTAAGTTCAGCTTTTGAAGTAACAACTAACATCTTCAATCAGCTGTGATCAAGAGAGAGCAAAAGAAACCAAAACAAACAGAGGAAAAAAAGAGAGACAATATTGAGACGAATCAAGTTTTTCTCGTTCTCATAACAATAAGGTAACAAAAAGGAATCAAAATTAACTCGAGGTAAATTGATCGTTTAAAGTTAATACAATATTTCACAGAGAGAGAGAGAGAGAGAGAGAGAGAGAGAGAGACTCAATATATCAAGTGAGAAGGTCAAATTTGATCATCTAACTGACTAAAGTCCACCAGAGGACGCGTGGATGATGAAGAAAAGGAAGATGAAAAGTGGAAATATCATGTTCCAAGTGAGTCTGAGTGTAAATTCATGACTTGCGTCATCATTAGTTTCATTATCATCATCAATTAAAATTCTCATTAATAGATTAGGTAAAGAACAGGTAACTGGGAGGTGGAGTAAGTGCTCTGAGCCCAAACAACTTTTGCTTTGATTGACCTTTACCATTGATCTGATTCAATGAGATGGAAATTGTTTCAAGAGGATTGGACTTTGAAAATCATCTCATTTCATTATGGTCTCATATTGATTAACTGATTGTGATAGTCAATTTCATTAATCATTTGTTCAACGCTTGCATCTCATGATAGGATTAAAGTTCGGCTTATTAATAATCATAACAATTATCTTAATCAATTTTGTTTCGATTACAATTTCATTTGGTTGTTTTGTTTTCAAGCAATATTTCATAATTACTTATTATTAGATATTTACAATTGAAATGTTTATAATATAAATCAATTGTGATCAGTTGCATGCTTATACATTTTATCATTTAGTTAACTACTTGTAGCTTTGTATTTGATTTGATTTGATCCACCATTTGAGTTGTATGGATATGATTAGATGTTATTAAGTCGGATGATCATCACACTTGTTTGAGGTTCAGGTGAGGAGCTGGTTGATTACATTTGGTAATTTGGACAATGATGATGGTGATTGGCTTTGATTATGATAAGAAAATGATGATAAATTGGAGCACAGTTTTATCTCCATCCAGTCAACAGAAATCGAGAGGTTATTATTATTAATGAATGAATAACTCAAGTTATTAATAGAGAGACGAAAAAAGGATGAGCTCCTCTGAAGGATCATGTATATGTTATGGTGATTTTTGAACTAATTTCAAGTCTAGAATTGAAATTGATAAATGATGAGAAGAAAAAAGAAGTGACAATTTTGACGAATCGTCTTTTTTACTCTTTTCAAATGCTATAAATTCATGATGATTGAGATGATAAGTGAAAAAAGTGCATGAAAGGTCAATGAAAAGCCTTGAAAGATGTAATATTCATTTTGATTCATTCATGATGCTTGGTGGGTAATCAGATTAACTTGACAAAAGGTGAAAAGGAGCCTGGAGTTGAGGAGTAAACTTAATTTGCTGAATTTTAAGCATCATTTGAAAGATCAAACTCTTGATATTCCTTGTCAGGGGATCCATAGGTAGATGATTCCAGTGAAGAAACTTCATCTTCTGGTGTTGAATTGTGACAAAGGATCAAAGTGTGAAGTTTTGGTGAATCAGTTAAACAAACGACAACACTTTTACCATTACGAGATAATTGACAGCAGCTCAGTGGCTGATCAGGTGTAAAAACAGCTAAACAGGAACCTGACAAGAAGATGAAGATTAGATAAGATTATGTATTATTCAGTAAGATTAACAGGTCGATAAAATTTTCTTACCATTTTCCAAATCCCAAAGCCTAATACTTAAATCTTTTCCGGTTGAGTCATAAGAAAGTAAAGTTTTTCCTTTCTCATCAACTTGTAATATATCTACAGAGGCGATATGACCCTGAAGAGTGAGTCTAGAGTCAGTGAGAGAACAAATTAGTTAAATAAAAAATGTCAACATGATCTGAATTTCTGTCACAAGGAAATTCATTTGATTACCTTTAGCTCCAGTTGAAAGATCCCACACCAAAATGAGAGCTGTTTCCGTACAATTAATTACGCACGAAGCACTTGATGAAATTGTTATGCTAACAGTGTTACAATCAGGTTTCCATTTTTTGAATAATGTACCACTCTGAAGATCGTAGACTATGATGAAATTTGGTGAAGTAGAGTTGAGTTCCTAAAGACAAAAAAAAACATCAGATTAGATGAGAATTGAATTATCTATAAGATGAACATTGATTGATTACCTTGCTCACACAGACTACATAATGTCCATCATCACTAATTGCAGACAATTTCGTGATAAATTCATGGTGAGGAATCCTCAGATCGTAAATGAGTTTACGATTAATCAAATCCCAAACAAGAAGAGGGAAAGGCTTCTGAGTTTCATCACCGCAAACACAAATATTCCCATTGGCACTGACAAGAAGACTATTAAGGAATCGATCCTCGCCGACTTTAAATGTTGTCTCTAAATCTCCGGTTTTAAGACTTTGCATATTAACATACATTCGATTACGTGATAAAGCAACAAGATAATTGTCACTGTGAAGCCCAAAAAAGGGCATCTTTTGATTCATGACTCCTTTTAATTTGATTACCAGCGATCCTTCGTCTAGATTATAGATTCTTAAATCACGATTACAGAGAACAACAGCTCGATATTGATCAATCATTCGTAAATCTTTGGGTTGATTGATTCCATTCAAAACACGAATAGGTTTCGATTTGGCAATATTCCAAACACTTATTTCTCCTCGACCAGTTGAAAGTGTGATTACATGAGCATCGTTTCCTTTAATTAGAAAGATTTGATCATATTGGTAAAAACTTTCCTCAATTAAACCATCACCAGATCCTGATTGTCCAGAATTGATCGTTGAAGTACCTGATTCATTAGTCTCATCAGCAAAAATATTGCTTTTAACTGCCATAAATTGAGTATTCAGAGGCAATAAACTTGGTACGAATGGTTTTTTACATGACACCACAATATTGGCAGCCTTTGGATATTTTTTAGCCAAATCGCTCACTTTGTCGGAGGTGGATGTTAATGGTGGAGGTGAAGAGGAACAAGTTGAATGTTGATTGTTTATTGGTTCACCTAGAAATGAGTTGAGTCGAGAGTAGATTTGTGAGATAACTTGCAATCCATGGTATCGGAGAGGATAAGCTGAGATCATGATGGTGTGAATGAGAATTGAGAGATCACTTGAAAATTTTTCGACATTTTCTTGTTTAACATTATTATCACTATTAGTTATCCCATCTAATGGTTGAGATCTTTTCCTACAAATTGATTTGACAAGTTCTAAATCCTCCAGTAATTGGAAAGGATCACATACCAGCAATTTAAAACAAATCCATTTCAAATTGAGACAATAGTTTTCAACGAATGAAGATAAATCATCTACATTCAAATTCATCTTCAGGTAACCCAATTCTTGAGCTTTTCTACGATTGGGCCATTGGTTTGTTAAAGCTTCGCCCCCTAAGAAATGTTGACTTGCGAGTAAATCATCAGGATTAATGTTGAAATAGTTCAACATTTCGTCTTGACTCAATCGAGTGACATCTTTCCACTTTTGGGTATATTTACCAACGATCGTTGCAATTTGACGAGTTTTGAAGTTAATCAATGAATCGTCCGATTTGGTTGTGATAAAATGTGATAACTTGAAACGTATCAGAGACCAGAATGAATATGGAAAGGAGGATACATTTGGTGTAAAATAAATCTCGTAATGATTGACTCTTGAAAATAATGTCCATCACCTCGGCATCAGATATACCATATCTTGTTGAGGAAAGTGTTGTTATTATGGCTGCCATCAAGGGAGGTTCAATAATATGACCGAGTTGATTTATGAATGAGAGTATAGTTGATTCAATGTTTCCAATATCATTTATTTCATCAGGATGAGTAGTTGATTGTATTTCTGACAGTCTGAGAGATAAAACTTGTGCGTAAAAAGGTGTGCCCACTTCTTTCATTTGCTTACATGCAAATTCCCTTTGGGTTTCACTGATTTTTCTTGATTTACTTTGTAAGGTGACATCTAAGATTCGCTCCATTTCATTTAAAGTGATACTAGAAATATCTAAACACTCGACTTTTCCAATAGATTTAAATTTATCCAAACAATTATCATTCGTCATGGCAAGAATAACTTTTACGAAAGCAGGAAGCTCATCATGCAACCAAACTTCAAAGTTAATCCAATTATAATCAGCAAATTGATCAACACCATCGATAATGATTGCTAGCGGTCTCTCCTCGTTTGATTTAGATAATAATTTGATTAATGTCTCTTTTGGTCTCAAAGCGATTTCAGAAGCGAAACTTATATGTTCCCCATAAAGCATACACAGTTGTTCACAAATGCTTCAAGTGTTTGTTCAACAGTCAGAGATTCACATGTTAGTCCAATTGAACGGTAAATAATGACCGTTGTTGGTGACCAGTAGCTACAATTAAAAGACGCACGAGAGAGTAAAAATGATTTGCCCGATCCTCTTGGTCCATGGATGATTAGTGGTGTTCGTGAAGGTGAGCAAATGTAAAATTGTATTTGCTGTAAAAAAGACTCTCTACCAATATAATGTTTATCCAAAGAATGACGATGATTATTTTGATGAACTAATTCAATGAATAAATTGTTATCAATCTCTGAGAATTTTTTAATTGAATCAGCAGCAAACTCTTCCTCAATAGCTAATTCAGCTAATTTTTTGAAATTTTCACCAAAGAAATTAGTGATCTCAGTATCAACTGCAACTTGGTCAAGATCAGCGCTTCCCGCCGGAGCAAGAAGTTTACGATTCGTTGAGATATTATCCTCAATTTTATTCATTCCACTTTGAGAACTAGATGAAAATTGGGCTAATTGTGCCAAACGAATTAACAAAGTATTCTTGTTCATTCCATTGGTATCATCAGCTATAAATTTGATTTCTTCACAAATTATCGATGTAATTAAGTCTTCGTTGGTCTTTCGATTGGTTTCATTCAATAGAACGTCAATTATCACCTTGGATTCATTATACCAACTTTCAAGAGCTTTTTTCCTCTCGTCTGACGAATGGCTCTTGAAACAAGGTAAATGTTTGCTGATTGGGTGAAGCACATAACTGGTTGGCTCCTGATTTGAATCTTTATAATACCATTTCTCAATTAGCTGTTTGGTTGATTCATCACACTGAGCAATCATCTGATTAAAAGTTGATTCATCAATAGTTCTGGATAATAACCTTTTTTCTGGTTCTCCATCTAAAATAATCTGAAATAAGAAAGAAGAACAAGAATAAGAGGTCAATAAATGACATGGAAAACCTAATGTTTATCATGGAATCATGTTGATCTCTACTCACCAGTGGTATTAATCTCCCTCTTTCTCTAAGATATTCAAGACTGTTGAGACATATTTCTTTATAACGATGATCATCATCATAGATATAAAGATGATCTAGATTAAAGTTGTAATAACGTATTTCATAGCCATTAATTTAAAGTGATGAACACAATTAACTGTTGGAAAAAAATTTAAATTGATTCTTATGTTGCTAGTGTTGGTTAATTGTTCACAAACATCATAATAATCCAAGTTAATTTGTCCACAGTGTTTTTTATCAAATCCAAGGCCCAGCTGATTGTTTTGAAGGAAAAACAGTTGAGAGAGAGAGAGAGAGAGAGAGAGAAAAGTAAAACAAAAAGGATCAACACTTTAGGAGTTAAAATTATGGAAGATAATCCAAAGATTAAGGGGATTTAATGATTATTGATGGAAACACGAAGAAATCAATGAGAGATTAACATAGTATGGATACTAAAGGAAAACAACAACACCAAAAGAAATTAAAGTTAATTACTTGGGTAGTTTTCTTTATCACTACTAATTGGAAGGTTCAACAAGTGGATTTTGTTGGTGAGTTTGTTGTTCGGGTGATTAACAATTAGAGATTAATTGTGAATTGTATCCAAGCAATCGATGGATTTAATGAGAAGAAAATAATATCAAAAAAGATCATACATATCAGGTTTTTCCATACATAAAGAAACAACAACAAACTTTTCATCAAGAATAAGGGAGAAGAGAGAGAGAGAGAAAAGATGAGAAGGAGATTAAAGAGAAGATAAGTGATGACGTGAAGTTTTCAGCTGATCGATTGGCGGTTTAATCAAATCAACGAATTACGATCACGATTGTAATCACTAATTATTAGTTAATTGTTTGGAATGAAGGTAATTAATCAATTAAAATCTCATCTCATAATCAAATTTGGATCAAATTAGTAAGGAAAGGAATTATTTTTCCTTTCCTTACTAATTTTCAAGGTTATTGAGGTCATTTTAAGGTCACCATGTGAAAGAATACAAAAAGTTCCACTTAGGATTCTTAATTAAACCTGAAAAGTTCATTTTTACTCAAGTTTTCACAATCATTTATGTGATTGAAACCAGAAAAGATTATTAATTGAAGTAAATTAATATGATGATTAAATGATAAATATCAGTGTGATTATAACTCGCGAGATAATTGAAACGATTGGATGGAATTAGTTTAACATGGTTTAGAAAACTCAACTTTTCAAAAGTTGAGGATCACAATCGTCGACAATTTAATTGATTTAATTAACAATTTACTTGTGATTTTGAAGGAATAGAAAAAGTGAAAATTATCTTTGTTTGTCAAAAGGCAAGAAAAATAGGAAGGAAACACAAACAAAAATACAATTAATGTTGGTTAATTTTAGGAACCTTAAACTGTCATAATAATAAAGATTAATGGGTTAACAATTGGGTTTAGAATTTAAAATTACCGTTAAGTATTGATTGATATAAATTTTCATCTAATCTTTTGTACTCTTCATTTTTCCAATCTAATATATAGATTGGATCGCGAATTAGGTTAAGGTCATAACCCTCTTTTTTAAGGGCCACTTTTGGCATTTTAAAGGTCGATGTTACCTCAATGTCGCTAGTTAATCGTATGAAAACTGGAATAGCATAATGAGGTAACTCTTTCTTCATCTTAATTAGCAGCGATTTAAGATCAATTGATCTGGTTTTATCTCCGATTGCAACCATTCCCGCTCTACCTTCATGACCTGGTACAAGAACACCAAAGGCAACAACATCAGCATGATTGGTTAAGGAATCGATAACACCTTCAACCTCACCGGTGGAAACATTTTCTCCCTTCCATCTATAAGTATCACCGGTCCGATCTTTAAAATAAAAGTATCCAAGTTCATCCATATAAAGTAAATCACCTGAGGCATAATAGGAATCACCTTTTTTAAAAACATCGGAAATAATTTTCTTCTCAGTAGCTTTTGAATCAGCATAACCATCAAATCGTTTAATTGGATTTTTAGATTTAATTAATCCAACCAATTGACCAACTTCACCGGGTTGACATTTCTCACATAATCCTTGGGAATTACGAATCGGCTCCCCTGTTTCCGGGTCAACATGGATCAACATAACGGGATATAACCTTTTAAGTAACCATTGGGGTAACAGGACGGAAATGAATCCACATGATCCTTCACGATTATCAAAATTAACGGTACTCGAATTACCCTCGGTGGCTCCGTAAAATTCAACAATTTGACCAACACCGAATCGTTGTAGAAACTCATTCCATAAAGATGGACGGAAACTGTTACCATAAACACATCTGACCTTATGATTGCGGTCACTTTCACTTGGCGGTAATGCGAGAAGATAACGAGCAATTTCACCGATATATTGAGCGACCTGTTGATTAGATGGAAAATGGAAAATGGTTATAGAGAAATATATAATTCGATAATAAGTTGAATGAGGTCAATTGTACTAACAGTTACGCCGTTCTCTTGGCAATCTGGCCAGAAATGTTTCGCTGAGAATTTATTCCTAAGGACAATCGTTGTACCATAAAGTAAACATTGGCTCATTCCTAAAACGCCACCGGCAAAATGATAGAGTGGAAGTGGAGTATAAAGAATATCTTTCGATGTCATTCCCATGATCTTATGGATTCCATAGCCGAAAACAAAGAATCTGGCATTTGTAATGATCGCTGCTTTTGGTAGTCCAGTGGTTCCCGAAGTGTAAATGTACAACAATCGATCTGAATAAATGAAACAATCAAAATGATAATTTTCTCTCCTCAATATGATCCAAATGTACATTTGGAAATAAAAACGAAACAGCAAAACAAATTAAATTACCAGTAAAGTTTCCCTTATAGTTAACAGGTTGATCACTTGAAGATGCAAGTTTTGATTCCAATTTAATTGTCCTGTCATCACTTTGATCACTAGATTTGGAGGAATCAGCACCATAAGAGTAAATATCGATACGATTATCAGTTGGAAGTAATTTCATCAAGTCTTTAACAACTACAAGAATATAAGAGAGAGAAAAACATGAAAGAAAAAAAAATCATCCATCAAATTAGTTAGAAAAATTAAAAGATTAAACAAATTATTATCTATAGTTCAAAGACATACAAACAATTAATTCTGATTTCCAGGTAAATCAATCGACTCTACAGTTAGAAATAAAAAAAACAACAGGTAACAAAAGTCAAGAGCACAAACATAAAGATACTTGAGATTATGAGAAGAAGGAAAAAAAGATCAACATAGACAAACGTCAGTTTTGTAAAATTAAGCTAATCGGAAATCGAAACAAGAATCAATTAATTGTTTGTCATCAGCTTACCTGGTTCTAGTACCGAGTCATATATTAACGCTCGAGTTTTAATTACACTTATTGAATGTAAAAGTGTAGTTGATTTGAGATTAGTGTTGAGAAGAGCGGTGGTTAATCCGGCTTTCGCTAATCCCATCCAGATACCAACAAATTCTGGCCGATTTTCCATTAACAGAGCGATTTCATCTCCAGGTTTGTAACCAGCGGATATGCAGGTTTGTGCTATTCGATTAGAAAATTGATCCAATTCCTTGAAAGTCCAAACTTTTCCCTGGTAAATTAGGGCTGTTTTATTTTCATTCTTCTTGGCGATTGTGGTAAACATGGCGGGTACCGTTGCATTGGCCTTACGGAGCATCCAGAGTTTGACATTGGCCGAGACAAGGACTCGTGAACCTCTAAAAAGATGAAAATGTAATTTAATTAACCAGAAAAAGAGAGAGAATTAAATCAAAACAAATATAGATAAATCAAAGAATCGGAAAACCTTGAAAAAAATAATCAAAAGTTAATATTAAATGATGAAAATGAAAATTTTTCACTCACTTGAAATCACGTCTAAAGGTAAGGCGGAAAATTTTACCATAATTAATCAATTTAGCAATAAATCCAAGTGATTTACCAGTTTGTTGAACAACCATTCTGTTTAATAATCAAAATCTGAAACAACAATCAACAGATTAAACAAGAAAAATAAATTTTATCAATTTAATGTTTTCCAATATAACAAAAAAATGACAATTCACTTACATAGATTTTAAGAAGACACTTGAAAATGGAAAGTTAAAAGCAGATAATCAACAGTTATTGATAACAATTCTACCATCACTTGATCACAAACTCAATGGAGATAATGTTAAAGATGAAAATTAAAAGTTAAAATTATTCTAATTAATTAATTTATTTAATTGTAAACAAATAAAAACAATAGTTACTCAAGTTGACCAAAAAATTTTGATCGTTTCATTTTTGTTTACAAATTTCAATTCCAATGGATACAAAAATTAGTTCCCATTCTTACCGGTAGATGGCTGGACAATCGGTAGTGTTAATTAGTTGATTGAATTTGAGAAAAATAATTAATTTTTAATTTAACAATTAGAATGAGAGACAATTAGTTACAAATTTGAACACAAAAGGAAATTATTTAAATTTACAACAATTGTAAAAGGAAAACTTTTCTTCATCTTGTTTGGGTAATGAGATTTTTTCACATTTTTCTCAGACAATTTAAAATTTTGAACAATTAATTTTAATTCAATGATTGTAACACTTAATGTTTTTGTATGTGTTTGTGTGTATTTGATTGTTTATCTGTGTGTGTGTGTGTTTTCAATTGTAGCAAAATTTGATTTGTGAACATTGATAATAATAACTCTCTATCTTGATTGGTAGTTAATTGTCAAGTTGAATTGGTTGAATAAAATATTGTCATTTCTAAATTAACGTTATGTTGTCGTTTGCGGGTGGGAAAAACTTGTGAGATCAATTAATTAATTACAATAATGGTTATATAGAGAGTGAGAAAGGGGAAAAGACAATTAGATGATTATTATTGTTTCCATTTTCATTGGTAAATGTTGAACACAATTAGAATTGTTTTTGGAACTAAACAAAAACAAAATTATCTTCTTTCTCGAGAAAAACAAAACAAACTTTTCCTCTCCATCGATATATAAATATTGGTCAATCAATTATCAAATTGTCTTCGTCCTTGAGGTCACTTTTTTTTCACGATTCTTTGGCTTTAATTGTTTCCTTTCTTTGCGCTCAGTGAGTAAATTGTTACTTATTGGTGAGTATGTAATCAAAAGGTTTTGGGTGTTTGTCCGAATCATAAGTTAATTGAAAAAAAAAAACATTTGATGGCAGTTCCACTTATGAGATTAGTTTTTCCTTGGATAATCAATATCTTTCGTAAGCTTTTTTGTTGAATCCAAATAATTGAATATGATAAAAATAATGATACAATATCCAAGATACAAAATTTCAAGGGAGAGAGAGAGGGTGAGAGAGAGGGTGAGGATGTATAACAGAATTTCAGTTTTTCTCAGCCCATGGAAATACAACATTAATATTAGAAGACAAAAATAGGATGATGGCTGAGATGGGGGAGAAAAAGACGAAACTTCAAAGGCTGAAAAGGATGACAATGAAGATGGAAAATAATATGATCAGAGTTAAGGATGGATAAGATTTTACAGGGGAGACATTGGGAGATGATAATTCTAAACATGAACAGTTTCAATGTGAATGATAAAAATCATAAAAATCATGACGAAAATGCTGAACACACAATAATCCAAATGCATTGACACCAAGAAATGCTAGAGTTGTGAAGGAAGAGGATCTTAAAGTTAACTTTGATCAAACTTATATGATTAAGTTTTTGCAGATCAGTAAATATAAGGAATCAATGTTTTGGTTAACAATTATCATTTAAGGGGCAAGGGACGAGGGACCAAAAGGATAATTAGATGTATGTACATGAAAAATATACAAGATTATCTTGTAAATTATTAGATTTACAAAAAGAAACGATGATTATTTACAAAAATTAACTTTAGAGGAATAGCCATTTATGGATGGATGTCCATAGGTTGAGAAACATCAAGTGATACAAATGATGATGGCAAAGATTAAATTAAATCTTAATTGGATTGTTTCATTTCTATCAGAGTCTAATGATTATTGGATTTATAGTTGACTTCAATTCGGATGAGAAACTCTTTGCATCTCCAAAAACAATTATTATTAATTGTTTTGTCTCTTTTCGGATAATCTTTCTTTTGGCTTGGCTTTGTTTTGGTTCATTTTCGTTACGTTTATTTACAATAAATTTACACACAATCAGGCTGGTTAATTATCTTTGTTGTTATTGTTATTTTCTCCTTAACCATTTCCGCTATCTTTAACTTTGAGACTTCTTTGTTTCCTTAATTGTGCTGCATGCCTTGAACGATAATCGTTCAATTTTCCAGATGAACTAGAATTAATATGATGATAATCCGCTGTTTTGGCATCTTTATCTGTTGGTGAACTAACTGCTAAACTTGAAAGGGAAGTTGATAAATTAGATGCAGTAGATACACATAAGCCACTAGAATAGCTCATCATGTCACCAGTATCTCCCTCATCAACAGGTAAATGAGTTTCTACCATAGCCTCAAGGCAATTGACAAAAAGTTCAGCATTATCCAAGTTAGATTGACATTTAGCAAATGGACCAGCAAATCGCCAAAGACCAGCAAACCCGCAAGCTAAAGTTTTTTAGATAAGAATAAGTATAAAGAAAAAGTTTAATATTATTGAAAAGACAAATTAGTTAACAATTAGAAATCAATTAATGATTTAAATTCTTACTTTGAAGATAATGAAGTTGCTGTTGTCCAGTATCTTCATTAGCGATCATATTTTCAATGATTGTTTGTACAGCACTAAGGATAACTTGATTATGACACAAATTCAGGATACTTGTTATCTTCGAGTCCAATAATGAATATCTAAATGTAAATGATTCAATTTTGATTGGTAATTAAAATCTTGATTCAATGCAGAACTTTTTTTTCTAAATAAATTACTCACATCACAGGGAAAACTTTTGGAAAAACAATTGATGCTTCAGCTAAATATTCATATAGAACTTTCATCTCATTTTCATCGGTTGTATTCCTGACAAGTGTAGCCTGTAAAAGGAAGGAAACAATTTGATTAATTGATTTGATTAGTTTGGAGAAAATTGAAATTATTTTACCAGAACTGTGAGGACTAAAGCTTGAGTTGAAAAGTCGGTTAAGACTTCAGGATCAATTAGAACATTATCTTCATTGGAAACTGATACTCTTGATTCTCGAGTTTCTTGAGTTTTCCGAATCTCTTGTTCAACCGGTTGATGGTTTTCACCATTTTCACAAAAAGCAGTTTCATCATCTGAATTGTTACCATCTCCATTGTTATTACTTCCATTACCATCACTGGTACAGGTTCCACCGGTCGATTTATCTGGTCTAATTAGTTCAGAACCAAATCTATCTCTACAAGAGTCAAGGCTTTTCTGTGACCTAGGAGTTGGAACGGAGCTGGAACGTTGCGTTCGCATTTGAGGTTTCGCACTGATGGCATCAATGTCCAAGCTTTTCCACGACTTGGAATCTCGAGGGGAATTTTGAGAATTGGCCGCAGATGATGAAGCGGTATTAAAAGATGATGTATGATCTAAATTATCCCATGATTTTTGCCGTCGTCCCATAGGTGAATGGTAAGATGATAGAGTTGAATTGAGAGAGGATTTAGCCTGAAGTGGTTGTAAACTGTAATTGGCGACGACGGTTGAAGCTTGACTTGGATTGGAGCAAAGTGAGGAGGGTGAGGGAAGTGGAGTTGATGAAGGTGTTTGGTGGAGTGGGACATGAGCGTGATTCTTCATGATTGCCTCTGCGTTTACTAGGCTATTGGTCGCATTTAAAGAAGAGGAATGTTGGTGAGTATCTATGGAGTAAGTTCTTGATGATGGTGGTTCTTTTGAGAGACGGGGAACTTTGTGTTTCAAATGACATCGGCTTCGAACCTCTTCAGAAACCGGTATCAGTGCAGTTAAATAGGCAACATTGTCAACATTTACTTCAAATTTATCACGTTTATAAGGTTTAGCAACGATCGCTAAAAGTGTATTCAAAATTCTGACCGTTCGGGAAACGGTTGTTTGTGCGGGATGACGGAAACCTTTGATCAAATGGCCAACCATTGCAAAGTGGAAATTTGATTTGAAACTTAATCCAACTGATTGATCGAGAGGTTTAAAATGCCATTCTAAAGGTTCACGAGTGGCCATCATGATTTGATCAAGTCGCTTATTTTCAAATAAACCTTGAGAATCAAGAGTGTGAAGGTTTTGCTCAAGAAGAGCTAAACCGGAAGCATATAAATTAACCTCATCCAATTGTAAGACTGATATAGCGACCCAAAAGAGTGACCGGTGAATAGGTGATTCGGGATTGAGTAAAGGTTGAAGTCGAGTTAGCCCCATGATAATTGCTTCGATAAGTTGAAGATCTCTAAATGATTCAAGAGCTCGATGGAGGATTCGTAATAATTGTTTAACCTCAGAATCTTTAACTGATTTTGATAAACATCCAAAGACAATGATGGCACGAGGTTGAAGCGCTGGGTTAAACCTAAATGCAAAACTGGTCGCAAGTTGAGTCCACTTTTGAAGCCAATCACAGGTTTCAATGCTTTTCATGCAACCCTCAACAATTTCAAGAAGTGCATCGGTAATTATTTCCAATGAACTTAACGGCATTTTATCGCCGTCAATTGAAATGTGAGATGAAAATGCTCGATCATTGGAAAGTTGTTGAGTTCGTTCCATGTTGATCATGTGACGTTTCAGTGAGGTTGGAGTTCGAAATGCTGTGACCGCTGGAGATTTAACTTTACTAATACCAAAGAGAAGGTAAAATTTGGGCAGAGAAAATTCATCCAAACTTAGACGAAGTATTCGTTGAGCTTCATGACTGAAGGAGGGATTGGTACAGGTACACAAGGAGTGGATAATATTGATAACCAGGCCGTGGATGGATGCACGAAACGACATGGGTCCAGTGTGAACCAAAAAGGTAACAATGTGAAATAAATATGGAAGGTGACTATAAACATCAAGGCAATTGTTAAATGATAACATAAGCAGGTAACGGGCAAGGATTGCAATATCATCCCACATGAGATGTTGCTCAAGGGTGGGTGTGGGTGAAGCAGCGGTTTTCTCAATCACAAGACACACCCGACTAATCACTTTAGATGCAACAAGTTTAACATTATAAGAAGCTAAGGCAACTGCTGTGTCCGCCATAATTTCAGCCTGATCGGAACCAAGGCCACCGGTTACCGATCTTTTGATAAAACTGTCAAGTATCATGTCAAGCAGATCAGAGACACGGCCAATATTACCCCAAATTTTGGCCTGGATTGATGGATACATTTCAACCTCTTCAATGGTTAAAGTTATCAATTTATCCAAAATGGTTGCAACTCTTTGTCGTTTACTGTCATCGGAGTGTTTACAGAATCGGGTTAAATTGGGTAACCAGGGAGTCATATATTCAAGGCATAAATGTTTCAATTCAATATTTGATGCTCGAAAACCTTGAATACACTCTTCAAGAAATTCTAATGTTAAATGTGAAGCATTGGTTGCCAATTTTTCACTTATCTGTTTGATGAATATCGTATTGTTGGATGGAATACAGAGACCCGATGTTTCCAATAATTGTCCGTCAATTTTAAGGTCAAAGGTTTGCGTTAATGCACAGAGAAGGTTATAAGCTGCAGTTCGTAGGTTTGGATCAGAACTACCAAGATTTAGAAGAGCCATATTTAAAAGGGTACCGGGTACATCTTTTGGTCGGATTTTGGTATGAACGGTAACCGAATCGGGTTGTGAGAGTTCCCAACGAGTACGAATATGTATTATCGCTTGGACAATTGTATCACAATCATTATGGATAAAGGAAAGTGGCCCACTTTCATTGGCAATGGTTAAAGTAAATTGATTATCATCAACGAGACAAACCTCTTCAATCTCGGAAGCATAATAAACATCATTAAGTAACACTGAAAAACTTAACACTTTACACTTTTCCGCTGAGGTAACTTGAATCGCTGTTGGGCCAACTTTAATTGTTACTTTGGTATCTCGATGCGATAATTTTAGAGCACCATTGAAAACTTTGAGATCTTCATCAAGTGATAAAGTAGCACCGGGTAATTTTTGCTGATCAGGATCAATAAAATCACTTAACCTTTGAGGATAATCGAGGAAAATTAATTTACGATTTCCTTTGAGAGGAGCGAGAACTCGATCATTTAATTTGGTGTATTCACGAACCCACGAGTTACAGTTGTAAATATAAGCTGAATGAATCTTCTCATAGGCCATTTCGGGTAGAACGGCAAACCATTTTTGCAGAAAATCAGTCTAAAGAAATGATAGAAAAGAAATAGTTGATCAATGATTTCTTTTTCTTCAATTATTAGAAGAAACAAAAACTATTACACTTACCTTAAATCGATTCTCGGTGCAAGTGTGAGTGAAATCGACGACAAGTTCAAAAGGTTTATGACAATAAGGTCTCAGGGTTAGGATAACATGATAAAGGAGGAAATCAGCGTTAATCTCATTGATCTTGTATCGTCGGAAGATGAAATAAAATACTGGATTACCAGCTTTGGAAGTACCCGCTTGGTAAAAGATATTCAATGATTTTAAAGATTTAAATTTATCATCATCATGAGCTTTTGCCATACACTCTTCAAATCGATTACTGGTCATGTCAATTGAATTCCATTCGGAATCGGTCATCTGTTTATGCTCAGGTGGACCAAGGTAAGCAAGTAGAGTGGCCATTTTATCAAAAGGCCTTCGACCAAGAGCTTTATGATCCCGAGAAGATGATAAATAATCACCAATTTTTTCTTGATGATTCCACAAAAGTCGATGAAGAGCATGAACATTGGCATCGCTGATGAACGATAAATTGTGACTTGTTTGATGGTCCATAGTTTCACAGTCTGAAGTAATTTGCATAACCCATCTACGTCCATTGTCAAAATTGGCACGTAAAAAGTCATTGAAAGATAACATGTGCTGCTCTTTACTAAATTCAACATTATTTGCAATGTTTTGTAAAATTTTGGACATTAACATCAAACCTCGTTTCACTTTGTTATTAGGTTGTAGGTCAACTATTCCCATCTCAAAAGGAGATACTGTAAATGAGAAAAGAAAAGATAATTAGTCAATTGTTAATCTTTTTTTAAAGAAAAACTTGTAATTTAAATACTAACCAATAGCTGGATTGATGAAACGTAAGAAAATGACAGTTCCAACTGCACTTATATTGTGAGGAAAATTGGGAAACCTTTTGTTTAATACTTGGTACAAACAGTGACACATGGATCGTAGTTGAGGCGGGAAACTGTTCAATAGAGAAAAAGAAAATTAATTTTATATTATGACAATTAAATTGACAGTTTGTGTGTTGAATGAGATTTTACCTTTCTGCTGATGAGATGATCGCATTGAATACTGTTTGTGTGAGATTCAAAAGATTTTGATGATTTGACTCAACAGTTTCACCGGAATCCATTCGTGCTGCATCAATTTCGTAACTTATATCATTTGGTGTTTCAGCGAGTGGTTTAATTAAAGGTTCAAGAAGTGCTTTAAGGTATGATGTTCCATAGATTTTGAAACAAAATGCCATTATTTTACTACCTAAACTGTTACCACGGAATAGAGTTTGCATGCAATCAGAGACTTCAACCTCTTTGTAAAACATATTCCAAAGTAACGGAGAGAGTAAATGTTTCGCATCAAATAGGGTTACAAATACTCTTGCCAACTCGTCCATTTGTGGGGTGGAAACGACACTGGCCAATGCCATCGCTATGGGCAATTCACCTTTATCACCAATCATGGTGACAAGTTGAACAAGTTGTTCATATCGATCAGCGAGAACTGTTTCCGCTAACATGTCAAACTCAGTTCCTTGTTGTAAAATTTTGGTCAACACTTCCATAAATGCTGCTCGAGTTTGTAAATCTTTATGATAACCCAAACTGATTGAGTGCATTAGACCAGAGTCAATGTTAGCACTTAACAAGTTTGACATGGCCTGAATGGTATATGTTGGCAATTCACTGAGTTTATAATTGTATTTATTGTAACGGGGAGGACCGTCAATGCTAACTAAGCTTCCAGGGACTATACTTCCGGTACCCACTGTGTCCTCGTCGGAAACTATGTCACTACACTCGTTTAGTAGATTCATGAAAAGGGAAAAATATTTGAGGAAAAGTTGAGATTTAGCTTCCATTAGGTCACCACGATCACTTTCCTCCGGTTGTAAAGGTAATCCTCTCAATAGAGCGGCAACTGCTTGCATTGAGGCCATATCTAATTCTCGCTGGACAGGAGTCCAATCGTTAATTCCGGTTGGCTGCATTTGGTGACTGTTTCCCATTACCCAATCAGTTAAATATTCAACCATTTTATTACGAAATTTCATTTCTTGACGGAAAGCAAGATCATCTCGACGTGACATCATTGTTTCAATGAGATTACAAAATTTGACCTTTATCTGAATATGTTGACCTGTATTGGTGTCAAGGTGACGAATGTAACGGACAATTGCAAGCATAATTTGCTCTATACTGGTCACTCCAAGATTCTCGGTGGTATGTTCAACCTTATTCTCAAGAACTGATTTCATGATGAAAATGATGTGAACAATAAATTGAGTACTGGTTTCGTTAACGGTAACTTGATACTGGGGGTCAAAAAATTTCTCAACAATTATCTTAATTTGATCAAAAAGAATTGGATAAAGTGCTGGAGACATTTCATGGGCAACCAGTTCTTTCACATGCTTTTGTATTTGAGTTCCAAATTTTTCATTGTTACAAACAAGAAGCTTTAAAACATCACCAACAAATTGAGTAACCGGACAATATTGTAAAGGATCTTGACCAGATTGTAGTAATGGAACTCGTCGAGGGTCAACAAAAAATCCAACCGAATTGGCTTGGGAAACGGGTGACCTGTTTTGTAAACAAACACCACCCAAAGCACAAAGGAAACCGGTCATATTGGCCCATTCGTTGATTTGATCTTCAAGTTCGTGTTCAGTGCTGTGCTGTGAGGTACGACGTTTAGAGACATTTCTGTGGGTAATTTCAATTTGACCTTCAACGTCCATTTTGGCTTTAGGGTAAGAGACAAGGGCTTTGGTTGCACTTTCCCAACTCAGGAAAGTATCTTCCCAAGCCTGGGAACACCCAAGGGTACAGTGGTCAATACGCCTTAAAAGGGACATGATACGTTTTTGAAGAGCGGCTCTTCCGGTGGTTAAAATTTGACTTGATTCGGTGATTTCTCGATAAATATTATAGTTTGGTGTTAAATAGATCATTGTGAGATCATCTTGACCACATCGTATTTCAGCTTCTTCACAGAGAAGAGCAAAACTTGACATGGCGGTAAGAACAGCTTCAATATCGATTGACCAGAGATAAATGAAGAAAACAACCTCCAATTTGATATGTGCTTGTTTACAGATCGCAATGTGACTACCCAAGTTAGCATATTCCTTGTGTTTGGTTAGAAAATTGTTACGACATCTTAATATATCTCTAACCCATTTAAGTATATCCGTATAATTGATTATCTGATGTTGAATGAGTTTCTGTGAGATTGAAAATAACACTTGAGATGAAATATCCCAGAAAGTGTTTATTGGTGCTTCTGGATTCCATTTAATAATATTTTGAGGTTCATGGAGGACAAGAAGAGCTTCCATTGCTTCTGGTGCAAGATCTTGTAATAAGGGTTGATGGACTAGTGATACCAGACCATTGATCAATTCCAGTGAACTGGATTGAACTTCAAGTCCAACTTTACCGGGATTGTGAAGCATAAGTAGTGGGCTGGCATGAATCAGACGAACCAACATTAGAAGAAGATTTTTGTGAGTTAATCCTTCCTCAGTAGATGATTTATCTTTAAATTTAAGATTAATCATCTTGTCTTTTAGAGATAAACTCTGGAAAGAGAAAGAAAAAAAAACAAAATCAAATTGAAAGAAACATTTAAAAGATGAAGAAAGAAAAAAAACAAAATCAAATTGAAAGAAACATTTAAAAGATGAAGAAAGAAAAAAAACAAAATCAAATTGAAAGAAACATTTAAAAGATGAAGAAAGAAAAAAGAAACAAACAAATAAACATAAAGTAAAAAAAGAGCAAAAAAAAAATAAAACGACAGGATTGAGAAAAAGAAACAAAAACCCGCGTTTTACCTGAACGTAGAATGACAACTTCATTTAGTTAATGGAAAGCATTAAGAGAATTAATAAACATTAATATTATCACATCATATTAGAAAAAAAAGGTTAATTGTTTGGAAGAGTCTGTAATTAAACTTGGTATACATATTATAGAATTTCGAGATTTACCTGATTTCCTTTAGATTGGTGGGTAATTTGTGTAACTTTGTTGAGAGTATCAGTAAACATGGCACGTAATTCGTGAGCTCGATTGTAAACAATGTCGATTTTAGGCCACCAAGGTAGCCGAGTTTGAGAGACGATTCGATAAAGTGAACAAACGAGGACAAAATGATAAATCAATGGTGAGAGTGGATTCAGGCAAACCTATTGAATAAGAATAAAGAATAAAAAATGTTCCAAGTAATGTCAAAGTGTCAAAGAAGAAAAAAATCAAAATTCTATCACCATTTACGCGCGTTAAAAGTGAATAACAATTAACTTACCTTAAGAACTTCATTGTTATGTGGTGTGATACGAAAGATGGAAACGAAACATTCAATCATAAGTTCAACGTCTTGACTAACTGTTGCTTGGGTTCGATTAAATGGTTTCGTTGGATTGAAGAGTAAAATTTTCAAATCATTGATGACTGAATGAACCAGTGTAAAGACAACATTATTTGAATCAAAGATACTGATGTAAGTTGATGTTTTAAACAATTTAACACAAGTAACTGCAGCAGTTTCGGTCATTTGTTTACTGGCATTATGGGGAACCAGAGCTTTTTTAACATTCTCAATAAATTGTCTCTTCCGGTAATATTTGGGTGAACAAGGGGCTCCACTGTCAGCGTTAACAATTTCCTCCAAAATTTTTGGACATAAAACAAGTAATAACATTTGAAGAGGCCAAACAGCAGCTCGTCGTTTATTATTGGTTTCAGCGAAATTGTCAATCAGGTCAAACAATTTATCACAACATTCAGCTAACTCTTCATTGGGTTTATTTTGCAATTCCATAAATTCATGGGAATAAGTGTCCATCCAATTCCAAATAGCTTTTTCTAAACTATTTAGAAGGACAATATGAACATTTTTCTTTAAACTTTTCAATTTAAGATTAACATCACTGAAAAGTCGAATTAATCTTTGAACATCTACGTTTATATGTTGAATAAGCTCAATATCGATACAGTCTGGATTCTCTTCATTACTGTTGGCCAGTTCTTGCAGTCTAAACAATAGAGAAAATAGAAAGATGAAAACGAGAGAGAGAGAGAGAGAGAGAGAAAGATAATTAGTAAAAAAAAAATGAAGGAAAAAAGAGAAATTCATTAAGGAGAGGAAACAGATTAATAGATAAGATAAAAAAATTACCTTGTTGATATACGATTAAACATAGCATTAAAATTATTCAAGCTAAGGGCAAAAAGCACTCGAGATGCCAATAGTTTGAGTTGAGAGGCCATGGGATTGTCGTTTGGCATATCCAGGAACTGTTAATGAAGGGGAAACAAAAAGAAATTATTAGAATATATTAAACATCAAATATGACAAGGAGAAAATTAAAAGATTTAATATGTTGAGAATTGAATAATTTTTAGGTGAATTCTGTTTACCTGGCAGAGCTCCCGGAGAAGCGTTTTTACATTGGTAGCTTCTTCGTAGCGAGTTGTCATCTCCTTGGGTTGGCAACTCAGACATTTTTCAAGCGTGTATAATACAATTAACTGGGATTCATAAAAGTTTCTTTCAAACTCCGGCTGAAGAGTACCATGAGATTGAGCCCGCTAATAATTGAAGAAGAGAAAAAAATGAGATTTAGAATTTGTAGCAAAAAAAAAAGGAGAGAGAGAGAGAGAAATCTTATGATTCAACGAATGTCAAATTTTGACAACTTACAATATCATTTATATTATGAAGAATTTGAGTTAAACCAGAGATAACAAGTGAAAATTTGGTTCTACTTATATGGATTAATGACTCCTTGTTCTGTTCGATATTTATCCGTGAATGGCTAGTTTGAGATCCAGTTCGGCAAAGCAACTGATCATGGAGAGAGAGAGAGAGAGAGAGAAAGAAAGATTTTATATTAAGATGTGATAGAAAAAGGAAGAGGTGTGAAGTAGGAAGATATGAAAATTCATAAATAAGAAAATTAAAATGGTAAGTCAATTAAAACAAAGAATAGCATATGTGTCAATGAGAATAGAGAAAATTGTAAATATATTCGAATAAAAAGAATAATGGTCAGTAATAGAGAGAAAAGAGAGAAAGTAAAAGGAAAGAGAAAAACAAATGACAGTTGATATAGAGAAAGAATAAGAAAATGGTGTTCATGATAACAGAAAATAGAATTGATGAAACAGATTGATGAAAGATGTCAATTGGCGAAGAATAAAAAAAAAGATAAGTGAAGTAACGAAATTTATAGAATGATAGAGAGAAGAAGAGAAAATAGATAAATGAAGAGAGATAGAGATAGAGAAAACAGAGAGAAATATAGTTGATGAAGAATGGACATCAAATTGAATCGAATTGAGAAATTGAGAGAGAGAAAAAAAACGTTCGATAGAAACGAAAAACAAACGAATTGAAGGGAAAAAGATAATTATGACGATAAAGATGAAAGAATAGGGAGACAAAGAGGTAATTAAATTATCTGCTCAAGAAATGATTTAGTAATTACCTGATCTTCAAATCTTTTAAGAAGCTGGGTAACCCATTCAGTTGGCTTAGAAATAGCCATAGTTGAGAGTCTGATATATGAGCCCAGTTAGGGCGAAAATATCAAACAATGAATTGACCAAATGATGACCAATGGTGAGAATGGTAATGTTTTCCACTTTAATAAACTTTTAAAGAGGAACAGGGAACAGATTAAGAAGAGAAAACTATTATTTTAAAAGATAGAAAATGGATTATCTTAACAATTTAATTAAGAGAAAAAAACTAATAATAATTAAAGAAAAATAAATCAACATTCATTTGTTTGTATTCATGAGAAGAAGAAAAGTGGTAAGTCAACTCCCTCTGTTGGAAGAAAATTCGCTCATCTCAGGGAGAGAAAAGCGCGACTTTTAAAAAGGGATATTCGTTTTTTCTTTCAATTTGTTAAATCGTTTTGTTTTTCATTCCTCTTGATTGTTTGCCTTAATTTCGTTTGATTTTAATCGCTTTTTTGTCACTTTTTTGTCTTTTCTAGTCAATTAACTTGTTCTCCATCTATTGGTGCTAATTGTTGATCACAATTTTGCTGAAAATTCAATTGTAAGTAATTTTTTTGCTTCTCAGTTTTTTTCTGTTTTCATCTTTGGCTTTGTGCTTATGTTTTTGTTTTTGTCTTTTTCTTGTAGTCAATTGTTATTGTATTTTAATTGATGTTGGTGATTTAATCTAATCAACTATTATGCTATTGAGGACTCATATTAATCCTTAATTAGGCTGGTTCAAAGTTAGGCCTGAGTTTTGTTTTCTATTCTCAACTATAACTTGGTTAGATTATTGTGTCAAAATGTTTTGCTTCCTTTGTTGATTCAATTGTTTTTTTTTTCTAAATTTTGAAATTTCATTGATTATCCTTAATTCATTTGATTCTTTTAATTTTCTCTCACAGATTGGATTTAGCAAGTGAGACTTACTATTAATCAGAAATATGAGGCGTAAATATGGATTAGGAGCCATTCAGAAGCAACAAAATACTGAGGCCAAATTCAAGGAGAAAAGTGAAGCAATTACAAAAGAGCAAATTGACAAATTAACTGATCAAATGAATGCCTTCAAATCACATTTGGAAAAATTTGCAACCAAACACAAGAAAGCAATTAAAAAGGTAACCCGAATGGTTGATCATCATAAATTGTTTTCTAATCGTTTTTTTTAATTTTCTCAATCAATGACAATCCAGAATCCAGAATTTCGTAGACAATTTCAAGTCATGTGTGCCACTGTGGGTGTTGATCCATTACAATCAAGCAACAATTTTTGGACCAAATTATTAGGTGAATAAAATTGAGACCATTATTATTGACATTTGATATTAATTTTCAATTGATTTCCTTGATCATCTTAAGGTGTTGGTGACTTTTATTATGAACTTGCTGTTCAAGTGATTGAAGTTTGTATGGCCACAAGTCATCAGAATGGAGGATTAATCACAATTGAAGATCTATTAAGACGAGTTCGACGATCTCGATCAACAGCTCGAAAGAAAGAGGAAGATATAACAGCTGATGATATTTTACGATCAATTAATAAGCTAAATGTACTAGGAAATGGATTAACTGTCCTTAAATCAAACAAAAGTTACATCATTCAATCAATTCCCAAAGAATTGAGTATGGATCATACTGATACCCTTAGATTGGCTTCGTCGAATTCAGGATTTTTTAATAAAACTTTAATTCGATCTCAACTTGGCTGGGAAGATAATCGAATTGATAAAGTTATTTATGACATGATTATGGAAGGTTTAATTTGGATTGACAATCAAGAAGATACAAATTCACCAAGCTATTGGTTTCCTGGTCTTTTTGGTTCATCCAATCAATCAACATTCCCATGAAAATATCAGAGACAAAAAAAAAGAGATAGAAATTAATACTCAATGTGGATAATCAATCATCATCCCTTCAATTATTTCAAGGATTTACAATCAATGGAAATTGATTTTAATCCAAGTGAATAAAGACACGATTCAATCATCAACATGTCTACGAATATTAAATTGCAACTGTAACTCGTCTGAAACACGTGGAAAAAATGTTGACATTATCGAGATAATTCACAGATATGCAAATGATGAACATGTAAAAGTTCATTTGAATGAGTCTTTAATTTTTCCATTTCTTAATTTCCTTTCTTCAGGCTTGATTGTCACCATTGCGAAAATTGATTTCCATTGGATTTTGTCTCTTCTCTTTCGCTCTTTGTTAAAGTGGTTGTCTAAATACAGAAGAATAAAATATTTTTCCTCTTAATCAATCTTGAGAAATTAGAAATTCTCTAATGACTTTTATGTGTAAATTATATGATATATTTAAATATATATAAAGTTAATTTCATTATAAGAAATGATTAGTATTTTTGTCATCATCATGATTCTTTAATTGGAGGAATGGAAGAAGGCGCTTGTTGTTGTTGTTGTGATTGATCAGGTTGATTGAATATTTGTTCATCTTGTTGTTGTGGTTGTGGTTGTGTTGATTGTAGATTAAATTGTGATTGTGATTGTGCCACCAACAGTTGCTGTTGGAATTGTGAATTGTGTAGTAATTCTTGTTCCATGATCGCTTGTTCAGCTCGAGCACGAGCAAATAGTTCTTGTTGTTGTCTTAATAGCTCTTCCTCTGGTATTCCCAAGTGTTCCAATTTAGTTGATTGTCGTCTCTTTTTACCTTTACACGTATTTAAAACTCTTTCACCTTCACAAATATAATCATTTAGGCCCATCTTTTTTAACGCATGGAGAACATGTTCACCGCTCATAGTCCTTTTCTGATTTTCTTCACAAATTTCATTCGCTTGTTTAGTAATTAAACGAATAAATTCTTTACCCAAATTAAGAATCACTTCACGACTATCATTGGCCACCCTAATCTCAGGTAGAACCTCTTTGATCAGTTTATTCATCGCAGCTCTGGGTAAACTTAATTCTTCCTCCTCCATTTGGTCCTTCAATTAATATTTAAGATGTTGGGGTGTCGTCGGGATGAGTTGGATTATTTTTAAGATAGAATAGAACAATAAATTTATTCTTTTTCTTTATCTCTTCTTACTAAGTCACTACAAGTGAAAATAAAGAATAAAGTAAAGATGATGAAGATGATGAACAACAGAAGAAGAAGAATAAGAAGAAAACAAAATAAACTAAATAAGTTGATTAAAATTAATTGATGAACATTAACAGAGAGAGAGAGAGAAAAAAAAAGAAACAAATTCACTTCAAGTTGCAAGAGTAAATTGACAAGGTGACATGTTTCCAACAGAAAAGAACAAGAGAAAATTAAGATTCTACACTTTAACTGTTAACAAGAAGAAGAAGAAAAACAAAACAATCATTAATTTAAAATAAGAGAAAAGTTAATTGTTGGTGAAGAAGAAAAAATAAACAATCGGAATCCGATTTTCGGTTTTAAATGAAAACAGAAAATCAGATTTTCTCAAACGCCACTAGGGCTCAATGAGAATATTGTTCAAGTGTTGCAGCTCCGCCGGTGGAGAAACAACTTAGGGAGGGGAATTTAGTTTAATTCAATTTCTCTCAACAATTAACAATCAACTTTTCAAGAGAAAACAATATTACATGTGATTGATGTGTTTGATTTGAAATTGGAATTGATAATTACCAGAGAGTTGATCTTCTACTCGAATCGAGTTGATTAGATTGGTAATATCAACAATGGAAAAGTGAAAAGTTTAATTGTGATTAGTATTATTTGCTGGTGGGTCATTTGATTGTTTGTATTTTTTGATTAAAAGGTTGTTTATAAAAGTTATACAATTAAGTCGAAATACAAATGTATAAAAATTTAGATTTTTAAATGAGTCGCAATTAAAAGTAGGAGAAAAAAAAGATTTTTGTTGGCAATTGTTGATGATTTAAGAGAATAGGAGAAATTAAATTGTCTTGTTTTTTTGTTTGTAAATTAATTTGACAATAATTGTCGATAATTAAGTTTTTAAACATTGGAATCGTCCAAAAGTGGATTCGAGCTTGGTGACATCATTGCTCTAAGACATTTAGTGGCTCTGTCCCGACTGACCTTAGTCTTGTACCATTTAAAGCCAATGTAACCCGCTCCGGCTACACAAGTAATTCCGGTTAAAATTAATCCGGTTACAAGAACACCGATTAACGCTGAAGATGCAGCCGCTGAACCCATACCATGAGCAGCTAGAGAACCGGAAGTTATACCAAGTATACCACCACCGGCACTTACTCCAGCATAACGAACCTTCATCGATTGAACTTCTTCAACAAGAGATTCATTTTCTTGACTAAATTTGATAAATCGAGCATCCATCCGACGTTTAATCATTTGCTTCATGTTAACATCCATTCCGAGTAACATTAATTGGTGAACTTCATTGATTATCTTTATCTTTAATTGGGAATGTATTCTAATTAATTCTGATGGATCAACGAAAATCATTTGCTCCTTTGATCGGGTCATTTGGTACATTTTCTCCAATGTTTGTTGGTATAATTCAGCATAATAATCATTGAATTTATTACTATATTGTTTGGATATTTTCTCATGGACAATTTTCATTCCATCGGTAATTTTTCCCTTAACCTCATCACACTCTTCGCGAGTGAAAAATTTGGGATGATTTTCGAACATTTCGAGAACATCTTTCTGAACACTTCGGAAAACAGCCTGAAGAAAACAAAGGAAAACAATTAGTTAATCGTTGAATTGCAACTTCAATTGATACAATACTTACTAATATTGTGTTTCGTCCTCTTGGTTTACCAGGATCAAGAACAAGTTCAAGTTCACATTAACCATTTCTTCATAGGTTTTGGTGAAATGATCAATTAATTGATTTTTAGTTGCTAATGAGATTGCCATCATTAATGAATCAATTCGGGGAAATGATCCATCATTAAAAATATCAATTAATGAGCCAAAAAAGTCAACATAACGTTCACATGTTAAATGGATTCCAACCAATTCCTTGGGACAAATAGTTTGAGGACTAAGTAGATGAGTAATGTACCTGGAAATTTAAAAGGATAAACAATTTAGTCAAAATTTTGTTATTGTTTTTTTTTTGGTGTCAAATTAAAAGTCAATCAATTACCTTTCAAGATGCTCACGGAAATCATCTGATAAAGCTCCTAATTCACCTTTATAATGTTTACGATAAATAACATCATTCGGATGCGGCATAAGGTAACAGTAAATTTCTTTATAAGCATCGACTATGGATTCTTTCATTTTCTTAAGATGATCTTTGTCACTTTCTTTAGTAATGAAAATGTCTTCCAAATATTTGGATCCACCTTTTTCACCATAAGAATAGTCTTCAGGGTAACGCCAACTACGAATTAGGAACCATAATCGTTGGAAAGGTTTTAAAAGGGGATCTTTTTTATTGCCCTTTTTACCTCGAGGCTTAATTCCGATCTCAGCTAAACGAACGAAAACTTGAAGCTCTTCAATATCTCTCGGAGTTAATTCTTCTTTTAAATTAAATATTTGAATCGAACTGGCAGCAGTACTAATACCGAAAACATGGCTCCAACGGCCACGAACTTCATCTTTACCATAAAGACCTAAAAAACGAAATCCGAATTGAGAAAGAGAGAGAGAGAGAAAATAAAACGATAAGGAAGAAAAAAAATCGAAAATTAAAGTCGAATAGATCAAAACAAACAAACGTGTTACATGAATGGAGGTTAAGGTAATTGTTGTAACAATTGTTGATTTTAGATGTTGATTAGAGTTGAACTTTTTGTTTCTTTCTATTTGTTAATTTGCTGTTAAGTGTGAAGTTAAGTGAAAGTAGCAAATTCAAGGTTTATAAAACTGACCTTCGGTATCCATAAAGATTACGGCAACTTTTTGACCAGAATTGGTTGTTATGATGTAAGGTTGATCCCAAATCCATATACCACGAGTTACAGTTCCATGGGTTGGCTTCCATTCGAGACCCATCAAAGGTTCATCAGCATCACCAATCCATCCTGATGAACCATCTCTCTCCATGTAACGGAAACAATAGTTTTCAAATGAAGTTTTACCCGAACTTGTTGGTCCAACAATTGATATTACTGCAATTGGTAGATCACGAATTGCAGGATCATGAAGAACTGAGGATAAAGCTGAACGATCAAATTGACAGGCTTCAGAATTTTCTGAAAACTGAACAATTTGAATACCTTTTCCTTTAATTTTTGGCTGTGGTTTAGGTTTTATTTTAGGTTTCCTTTTTATCGGACTGATTTCACTGACTTTACTTTCAGAGTTTTCATCAACCTCTTTCATGACAGTCTCTAAATCAGCCATAGTCCAAAAATTAACAGATCACTTTAAGAAGACGAAAAAGTTTATGTTTATCTCTTTAAATATTCAAATGTATCTGCTTTGATTAAGATAATGTAAACGTCAGAAATGACCATCAAATCACTGGAGTTATAAATATAACTAAGAGAAAATCAGGAATAATCCAGAATTGTGATGAAAAGATGGAGATTAATTCACTAGTTTCAACTGATCACCTGAATAAAGGTAAATATTAGAAAGAGTAGAAAACAAAACATTAGATCAAAATAGATGAAGTTATTAAATAATTGAAGTCCAGAGGTAAAGGTGGAGACATTATTATAAACACTGGAATTAAATGAAAGGATTTGATTTGGATTAACAAAGAAAGATTTGATTGTGTGATTAATGTAATGGTCACTGTTATTGGTGGAGATGTTGTTGTTATTGTTGTTGTTATTGTTGATGTGCAATAAGATTGAATGATAACAATCAATTAAAAGGGAATTTGATGAACAATCATCCATTTTGATTGAAATGTCTTTAACTGTAATAGATGTGAATCAGTAAATCATATGAAAAGAGAGAGAGAAATTCATTATTTTGAAATAATGGAAAACTAAACGATAAAAAAAGGTAACTCAAATATAAGAGACAGACTGTAACTAACATCAAGTACAAGTGTACGGATATAAGGTAACCAGTAAAACCAAGCAAGGTCAACAAGTTACTGTCTTAATAGATACACAGATACACGCCAACAATTAACGACAATAAAAACAAGCAGCATTACCAATAGCAAGAAAATTATGATGATAATCAGAGTTGGTTAACATCAATTAGAAAACATAAATCATTTACTTACCATGAATAATCAAGTGAACAGGAAGAAAATTGTAATCACAATTTTGGTGGAAATTAACTGAATATTATAAAAAGAATAGAAAATCACAAAATCACAAAATTCTCCAAAAGGAAAACAGATACAATATCGAATTTCCACTTTTTCTCTTCTCTTTTCTCCTTCTCTCTCGCTCTCTATCTCTATCTCTCTCTCTGGAGCCCAACAAGCTTATAACAGGTCCCAGGTAATTTAGAAACTGGTTTGGAAGATGAAGATAAGCCATCACTTTACTTTTCGAAATGGATTCAATGGACTCTCCGGTTTCTCTACCTCCGATTACCACAATTAAGTTAACACTTTTCCAGCAAAAAATGAGAAACAACTGATTAACTTTTGAAAGATTCAAATGTGAACAAACAGCTGATCGGGTTACAAAGTTCCCTCTCTCTCTTCATGTAAATGATACCTTGTCCATTCCAATGTGTTAAGTGAATGTGAGAGCCTCCAAATTTACATGGATGAAAAGATTGACAGTCAATGTGATCAAATGGTAGAGATGACAATCAATAGATTTCGAAAGAAATTAGCATAAGTGATTCTTGTAGTCTGTAAGGGAGAAAAAAACCAAAAGAGAAAAAAATAAAAATTCTATTCTAAATATCTGAATAGGAGAGAAATGTCATTAATCTTTTTTCCTTCAATTATCACAACCAATAGAATACGACAAATTGAGCAAGATATGAGATAATTACCACAAGAAAAATGTAACAATTAGATAATTACAAATAGAAAAAAAGAGAAAAATAAAATTAACCCAAATACAGTTACAAACCTTTTCTCACCAACAAACGAGACCCAGAAAACATGATACAAACAGAAAAACACCCAAATCTCATTAGCGGAGATTAAACAGCTCAAAAGAAAATCAAGATCATCAATAAAACAATTAGAAATGAAATTGAAAACAAAAGAAAATCAAACAACAATTAAAAAGAAGGGAACAAAAAAATGAACAATTAAAATTAAACAGAGAAAAAAGTGAACCGTTTCAGAAAAGAAACACTAGAGGGCGACACAAATTCTATTGGAAATTTGTATTCTCTTGTTCATCTTTTTTTCTGAATGAAAATTAACAACAGAGCGGGTTAGTTACCCACCGAGTGTACACCAGATAAATTGAGAGTGGAATAAGAAAAGAACCTCCCACAATGAGTAAAATGAGCCAATAAGATGGACGATGTAAAAAGAATAGCAAAAGAAAGAGAAGAGAAAAAAAAATTGGCCGAAAAAAAAACTTAGACAAACAAATAGAGATCGAAAGAGAAACTTAAAGTTATCATATCATAAAGAGAGAGAGAGAAAGATGATAAAAGAAGAGAAGAAGAAGAAGATAAAACATACATATAATAAGAATACCACATAATCATCTCTCTCTCTCTCTTTATCTTCCTCCTCCTCCTCCCACCGGCCTTTTAACATTAAACTTTTCCTCCTCTCTCTTCAATTGAAATCATCTCCTAGTCCAGTAAACATCATTTACTCATCATCTTCATCCCTCATCATATTTATCATCATCCTCATCATCTGTAAGCTTTACCCTAGTCTCCATCACTCTACCATTAACCTCCAGTAACAATAATTCAACTCTCACTCTTTAATTAAAGTTCAATTTACAAATTCAAATTTGATTGGAAAACTTTCCAAACAATTTGATCTAAAATGTAAAATCTCAATTTCTATCATCAAATTGATTAGTTTAACACTTTGTTTCCATTTACATGTTTGTGTGTTCGTATGTGTGTGTGTTGATTGTTTCAGTTAATTGTGTCTAATCATTTCTCCTTAATTATGTGTAAAAATAATCGCGGGATTAGGATTAAAAGTGGCCTTTCGAATCGGTCGAAACCCGTTGATTCGTCGGCCTCATCACTAAGCCATTTATGCAGATCATCATCTCCATTAACTAATTGTGATCATCATCACAATCGTAACAATCAAAGATTTAACAACAACAACAATTGAATATTAAATCAACTGATTGTGATCTAGTTAATTGTGATAATCAATCGAGAATTTTAAATTACTTGATCAAGTTAACATTCAACAATCAGTCAACACTTAATTATAAACATTACGGATTAATTGCTCTTCTTTCAATATTACTTTATATCAACACAATTAACGCTGATTTTGCATATGATGACAGGTAAGAAATAGCAACAACAATTAAGAAAATTAATTCCCTAATTACAATCAATTATTTTCCACAATACATATTGGAAAAAGAGAGAAAAAAAAATTCGAAAAATTTTTCAAATCTCAATTTCTACTTGCACTTTAAACCATAATGATTTGAGTTAATTATCATCAAGTAAATACGACTAATTAACACACAATTAGCAGCAATTAAGAAAAAATAAAATTCTATTGCCAAGAAAATCTTGAGGAAAAAAAACCGAAATAATTAAAGTTGTTGACAATTAGAAGTGAACATTTAATAACATGAAAAGAGATCATTCAAATTGCTCGAATTAAAACTGAAAAAAGTTCTAATTCAAAATTTCATAATTACAACTATTATTTTCTCATCTTCATCATCCATATCTTCCGGTTCCCTGAAATAACCATAAGATGAGACGAATGATAATCGCAAAATAGCATTAGAACTTTAGATATTTTAAGTTCGACGAGGGGGATAGACCGAAAAGAAAAAATTTTCGAAAGAAAATTTTTGTCCAAACTCATTTTCTATTCCCCATCAACATTTGGCTTTTTATTATTACTTTTCAAATGATAATCAATGGATGTTAACGGTTAATAGTAGTCTCGAGTTCTAACAAGATTACAGTTCGATTAGAACCATTGATAACACGATTTCGACAGAAAAGATAAAACTTTTCGCTCTTTATCTTCATCTCTCTCTCTCTCTCTCTCTCTCTCCTTCTGCTCTTCTCATCATTTTTATCATCCTTATCATCATCATCCATTAGTCCATATGCTTTACTTATCATTAACATAATACATTCATCATTATCATCATTTGATTAATCAGTTGATTTAAATTGTTACCATTAAATAATAACTTGACTTTGTGAACAAAATCAATGCTATTAATTGTCAATAAACTGTAGTAACTAATCAATATAATGATTTAACAATTACTATTTAAATTGTTTACACTTTTATAGTTTATCAACTGTTATTTTTATCACAATTGAAATGATACAAAAACCAATTGATTTGTTGATTTGTTGATTTGTTTACATTTAAATCAACATATTAAATTGGCGACAAAATTGTAAACAATTTAAATCAAATTAATGTTTTTCCCTTTTTGATCAATTGAATCGATGGACAAGTTGATTGATTAATTAACAAAATTTTTCGAATTCGAATCTTTTTCACTTTGTAGAAGAAGAAAAAAAGAAATTAGAACTTTGTTCTAATCTTTCGAACACATTTACTAATATATCGATTTTGATTATCAATTGATTTCTTCCAATCATCGATGTTGACATTATCTCGTATCATGGAAAGTATTTTATCAATGTAAATGTCGATACAAGAGAAACATGTAACCATTTGAAGGAGAAGAGAACGGAAATTACTATTCAATTTCCGTGGAACAAGTTGAAACCGGAAGTTGAACTAAGAGTTGCAAATTTTATCGAAACATTGATCTGAACTCGTGTAGAACTTTTTTCTTTACCAATGTTACTTCAATTTGAAACTTTCCATTTGTATCCTCAGGTTTGAGTTGTTGATGATGATGATTTCTTATGGAAACGGAAATGAAGCGAAAAGAAAGAAAAAAGTTCATATTTTTTTTCTATCTTCCTCTTGATCCATTAGAAATTTTCATGATACAATTATCATGGAATAATAATATTCCTATCAGAATCCATTTGATGATGAAATTTGTTCATTTGTCAGAATTGAAAAGTCAGAGAAAGAGCAAAGAAGAAAAAAAAAGAGAAAAATAATTCATGATAACAATTGAATTTAAATCAGAATGTTAACTTTTACCTATTATCATGATAATCATGAAAAGATGATGAGAAACTTACCTGTCATCATTTTCCTCATCATCTTCATCCTTTTTCATGGTAACTTGAAGATGAGATGAACAAAAAAATGGTCATCAAAGTTTCCAGGAAACTGGATGACGGTCAACAGATGATTGAACATGTTGTCATCATCTTCCTGTGTTGATCATCATCATCCCTTCCCATTGTCATGGTAATTTATGATGAGGATGACAAGTTGAAGATAAAAAATGATCATCATCATCATCATTTCCAAACATTTGACACCAATGTAAATTTAAGTTTAATTTTAAATTCAAATTTCCGATTCCAATCAAAAGCAAATTAAAATCCTAATTCAGTTACCAACAAAGAGATACCCATTGATTATGTACACAAGTTAATTACCATAATCAATATATTAGTAAACAATTTAAACTAAATCAAAGAAGATGAAGAAGAAAAGAGAAAATCTTTCAAAAAGTTCACATTAAAGTGACGATGACCATGGACGATCACTGACCTTCCCCATGTTGATTATTATCATGAAGATGATGATGATAATTATCCTGATGATAACAACAACAAAATGATAATGAAACTTTGTCCTCCAGCATAATATGAAACTCTGAAGATGATGAAGATAATGATGATGATCATCATCATTTTACATAATAACCCCTTTTCTCATCATCACAATAATGTAGCATCGCCTCCACATGATAATATCATCGGAATGATGATGATTTTTTTTTCTTCTTCTTCATCATCATTATCATCATCACTTAAACCGTTGAACCAACCACTACCGTCCATAGTTTTATCCTTTAGATTGTAACTTGAAAATCACCCTCAGGGCAAAATGCAATTTGTCTGATACCATTAACGAAAGTACAATTTACAATCGTGACCAATTACATTACAATTTTCAATTTCAACTCTTTTTACAACAATTTACTTATAATCATCATTATGGCTACTTAGTTTTTCCGCTTTTACCTGTGTGTCCATTTTTACAGGTAAACAAAACTACACTTTACTATTACTACTATTAAATAGCTTTCGAAATCATTTTTTGTTTCTTTCTTTTTTTCTCAATTGATGTTAAGGTGGAAAATAAAATTTTCTTTTCCATTGCAACAATTTACCTTCTTCACCTTGATTACCTGTAATAAGTTACATTGTAAAGGTGAGTTGATTTACAATCTCTCTCTCTCTCTCTCTCTCTCTCTCATCTCATCTTTATGATAGACTCACAATAAATGATGAATGATTTTCCAGTTTGGTAAATTGTTATTTCCAATATAATTTAAAAAGCCTCAAAAAATCATCTCTTAGATTAATACAATCACTTTAATCAAGGTAATCTAGTAAAATTTACCTTTGTTGCATTAACTTTACTGGACATTGGTCAGTGTTTATCATAATCAGTTGCTCGCAATTCAAATGATAACATTTTCCCTCTCATTTTGTTTGATATTGTTAATTGTTACACGTAAATACAAGTGATTGGTAAACAATTGATTTTATTTGCTTGCAATTGTAATCAGTTAAATTCTGATCTCGATGGTCAATTTTTTTTGTGATATTGTCTCACCAATCGGAAGTGCGTTTAGTTGATTGATACTGACCACTATGTATTTCCTTTACAACCAACTCATCATCATCCTCATCATCATCATTTTGTCATCCGGAAGTTTCTTGGTTTGAATAATGAAAATATAAACAGAAAATATCAGACCTGTCATCTGATGGTCAAGCTCATTAGCATAACTAATGTTACCTTGGTCAAGATTACTAATAAAAACTTGAAATTTCACTAAATTGCTAGAAATTATTCACAACAATTAGTTAATTAATCTTGCAAATCTTTTAAAACTAATTTCCAAATGAGTAACAACAATTAATATTATTGATGATCCAGGAGATAGTTTCATTTATCATCATCAGCTGTTAACATTGTTTACAAAATTGATTGTAAACAATTAACCAGATAAAATGAAAGCATCATAATGAAACAATTTAAAATTAAATCACCAATTAAATTGAATCTTAATTTGTGTAATAATAATGAAAACAAGTAACTTTTTGTTTTAGAAAACAATAATAATCATTAATGGAAAGTTTCAATTGAAATGTAAATGAATAGCAATTGGAAATTAATTTCCAATTGTAACAAATAGTAATATTTACCCTTGATGATGATGATGATTATGATGATTATCATCATGTTAATCATCCTCATCCTAATCTAATTTGCTTATTCATCCATCAATAAACTTGATTGTTTAATGATGTCTACGTTTAAATAACCAGAAAACCATTAAAACAAAAAGGTAACTAATGAAACTTTTTTTCCCTCCATTCATTTCAATTGGTAAATAAACATTTACATGATGAAAAATTCTGGTTCATGATTCAGTTTCATCTCCATCATTATCCTGCCCATCATCATGATATCATTAAATAATGATAATGATACATTAAGATGATGATGATGATGATAAAATGAAAGTGAAAATAAACTTTTCCAAGTTACTCTTACATGGTAAATCCTTTTGTTTCATTATCATTAGTACATCATCATGATCATCATTATCTTCATCTAATTCATGACGTTATCATCATCAGGATATTACTGAACATCCTTGACCATTGATGGACCAATGTTATGGATTCTGAGCCTGAATCATTTTTTTTTTCAATCTCCTTTGTGTTAATATTTACAACCTTTGACCAATGGTCAGTATTTGACTTTTTTTCCCACAAAAAGTTTAATCGTTTGTTAATTTTTTGATTGACAATCTTTTTAATGAGCCAATGAACAAAAAGATGATCAAGATGATCAATCAATCAAAATGAAGGCAAATATTAAACCAAAGAGATGATTAAGATTACAATTAACTCTTAATTGGTTGTAATGTAGTTATAACAAAATTTGATTCCTTGATTGTTACATAATAAAATCAACGGAAACAGTTGATTGTTGGAAACTTTCCCTTTCCCTTTTGATGTACCAATTAAAATCGTAATTTGATTTAATATTATCAATGAAAAGTTGATCATATAAATTGTGTGATTTACTTACAATCAAATTGACCATTTTATATTTATTTTGTTCATTGACTTGAACCATAATTGATTATGATTAACCATTAATGTTGAAAGTTTAATGGTTAGG